TGAAATTTTAAAGAATTTTAAAGAATTTAATGATTTCAATATCTCAATACTATGTTTTTCGGGGGCATTCAGCACGTAGCTGCAATTTACTGAAATTATCCGATTTAGTCTGAATCACTCAATTTTCATTCAGTTTTACCTGATTATCATCCATTTCCGGCTTCTTTCAACAATTTACGATGCCATATTCTCAGAGACCAAAACTGGTATTGCAATAATTATTACAAAACAAGACAAAATTATTTCGGTTATTTTTCCCATTTAATTTTATATAAAGCAGGAATGTATTTCAACAAATTCAAGTGTCTTACTAACATTCACTTAACAGAACAATTGTCTCTTAATTATCTACTCTTATTATTTTATGTCCGTTAAGTTAAACAATGATACCAACGTAATGTAATATCTTCCTTATTCTATTGACATTAAAGTGTTTATTCTGATTTATATAATGTATATCAGCCCCTACATGTTACTATATACATGTATATGATTAAAGAGAAATACTTGGAAAACAACTTGACATTGGAAATAAAATAACAAGCGAAAGACTAAATGGGATTATTGTCTAATTACTTAAAGTAAGTAAGCCCTGAAAGTTTTAACTGTCGCAAGGACAATATATCAAGTGTCTTTTGAACAGATGAAATTAAATTTGTAAACTCATAAATTTCCTTGAAATTCTCTTTCTTATGGTACTTAAAATACGATTGAGCAAATGTCTGTCAATGGTTAAAAGTTTCCCGAAATAGTTTATGAGCGCAATTGTTACTTAAAAAAATGAGTTTAACAGCGGAATAATGTCACCATTGCGGAGGCAAAATAATTACTTTAGTGCAGTAATTGTCATGAAAGTACATTTATAGGGAAACTTACGGAATCATAACTTAATACGTAGGCCACAAAAAATCGGCAAAGCTATGTTAACAACACTATGCGTGATATACTCTGAATACAATGGGTTTCATATCACTAAATAGAAACCCAGACTTTCATTTATAAACATAAACTATTACAATGATTTGACAGGGTATTTCTTGCATATCAGACTGGTGTTTCCGTTAATTACTTTAGTGCAGTAATTGTCATTGAATAGAGAAATATGCTTTGAAAGAACAAGATACACAATACATTTATAGGGAAACTTACGGAATCATAACTTAATACGTAAGCCACAAAAACTCGGCAAAGCCATGTTAACAACACTATGAGTGATATACTCTAAATACTATGGGTTTCATATCACTAAATAGAAACCCAGACTTTCATTTATAAACATAAACTATTACAATGATTTGACAGAGTATTTCTTGCATATCAGACTGGTGTTTCCGTTAATTTTACCCATGCCGGATATTTCATCTGTCATTGGGGCGTGCTATACAATGGCATGCTTTGGATGACGTTATTTCGCCGTTGTGAATGAAGTTGTAATTTCATACGCTAATGTACGAAAATAGTTACGGGTGTAAGGACATAAATCTGCAATCGGATTGGAATATCCGTCCTGCGGGAACCTGCCGATTGGCGAGTTCCTTTGGGGACGGATATCAAGATCTGTACAGCAACATATGACAGCTATAATTAATTTCAAATAACAGCACAAACTGTTGACAAAAAATATTTTATCGTTACGCAACAGTAATTCCTAAACAGGTAGTTAAGTGGGCGGATTACAGAGGTAGTACGTTCGATTCCTAATTTATTAAAACATATTTTAAACAATATCTCTGTTTTTGATTATCATTTTAAAACATCAATACGATAAAGCGGGGGTTAAACCGAATGAATAGGCAAACACGAATATATATATATATTTCTGAAAAATGATAGATCAGATTATTTTTCCCTGAAAACTACACAGTGATGATTGGAAAAGCACGCGTTATATCATTAAGAAATATTGGTATCAACTTTGACTTTGCGTTTCTACGATTACGTCATTGACCACTATGCTGGAAATGTCATGGCACGGCTCATATATATTCCTTTTAAATACCATAATACTTGTTCAAACAACTTGTTTAAATGAGATGACACGGATTTTTTTAGACTTTCAATACATGTATTTCTTTTAAAAAGCCTTTTTAATGTATATGTTCTGACTCAAAATAATGCCTACAACTCCAAACCGTAGGGTAAATTTTGCACAGGTGTCCTTTAGGTATACCACTCAACAATGTTGTCAATTATACAATCCCTTACAGTGCAAATCAGAGTGGTTATAACTTAAATGATAATTTACAAATATATTGTAATTTACTTAATATTTACAAACCAATATCTTAAAACAACCATATAATGAAGTAAAATCGTAGACTATCGCCTTTATGATTTTAAAACATCATTTTTGAAACTTAACCTATAGTAACCTAGTATATATCAATAACACGAAAAAATCAGTATTAGACGTTTCAAAGCGTATTTATATTAAATCTATTCTCAAAATTAAATCGTTCAACTCGGTACACAGTTGTAGTGCTGAATCAGCGTCCCATGGCATCTGTAGATCTAGCTTCAGAAGGGGTGCTAATTCTACGAATTCCTCACATTGTCTTTTTGAGCGTTAATACATGTTCTTTGCAAATATATACGCCTCTCAAGTTAACTGCATTGCCGAAGTCGTGAGTTTCATACAGACCTGGTTCTGGTTTACCATAAATAACAGAAGAACTGGTTTGTTGCCTTATTTCATCTGCAATCCGGTCTAACTCGGTTTGTATGAGGTCCATGGACCAAAATTTTAAGTTCTCGCATTGTATCGGGTCCAGATCATTAAATACACATGTATCGCGTAAGTCTTTGAAAGAAATTAATCCACCAATGGATTCCATTCTGTCGTAAAGTACACCACCACTTCTCAATGCGTTGGTTAGATGTGCTTTTTCCAACTACAACGCTTAAAGTACCAGCAATCGGATCTGTAGAATCGTATCTGAAGTATTGCTGCAATAGTAAAGCAATGCAGTTTTCCGTACCAATATCACAACGTAGCATTGGGTTGGGGGGACTTAATAATGTTCATTAAATGTGTCTAAAAGTATCTTGCAATAAGGTGTGGGTCGTTTTTTGAGTCCGAAACCTCTAACCATATTTTTTTTCTACAGCACCATGGATACAAAATCCTTTTGGTTTAAGTTTGTCTTAACCGTCCATATGTCATATTAAACTAGTCCTTTGGCGTAGTATACGCGTCGGCATTAGCGATGAGCTTTCCGCATCTCAATACCATCTGGATCAAGCGCTCTCATTATTTCCATGACGTCGTCCCCCTTGACGTACATGTTGTAATCCAGCATTAACCTACGCCACATTGTACGGTATCCTATGCATTGTCCACTTGTTTGTATTTCTCTGTTTATAACATCAGACACAGTCTCAAAAGGATTATATATTCCATTATGCCGTTTTAAATTTAAGCGTTTGAAATTCTGTTCTCTGTACTAAATGACGTCGTAATGCCATGCCGTACCAGAAAGTACTCTATTATCAGCAGAGTTTTGTTTGTTATAGATGTTGAGGGTAGATATGTTGGCACGGTAGCTTTGGTTATGCTGAACAGTATAATGATAAAGACACAGATCAACATCAAGGTTTTCATCCTCGTTACCTTTGTCCAGTAGTTGTGTCTGAAATAAGAGTTTATCTTTTATCTTAATCTTTATACATTCATAGTATATAAAATGGGTAAATCTCTTAGCTCCGTCTTTTAAAGATTGATAGGTGCGAAAAAAAAAACACATTTAAAATGCTAGTAGAATATTTTGTTCTAACTGGTCCTATATCTATGTTTGTTCTTAAGTGTTCTTTTCTCAATTGTTAAAATATACAACAAAATTAGACATTAATGCTAAATGCAAATGGTGCTCGATCACAATTATAAGTTAACTTTGTACTTGTGTGTATGAACATAGCACTTGCCGTTCTTTATGAAATTGGTCAACACTATCTAAGTACTTCAGAGAAATACTGATTCTGTGTTAGCTCAATAAAATGTTGAATTGCGATACATGTTTAATACTGTGCACCATACCATTTTAAGACGTAAAACAGTTATTTGTTTGTTACTCATGGACAGATTTTGTGATAAGGACAAAAAAATGTATAAGCACTAATGTAATGAACATATTTATAACATAGCAGAATGCACAAAACACACAGTCACACTTGTGGAATTAAAGTCTGTGATATATTACCACTATAGGACTATATCAAATAACATTAAATTCCCTTCTTAACACATCCTCTCCTCCATGACAAATCTTAATGAAATTATTTAAAACGTTTAAGAAACATACCTGAAACCAAAGTTGCTGCTTTCAGCTTCTAAAGCACGTGTAAAATGGGTTAGCCAAAAGTCATAAGACGTAAGTCAAAAGTCGAAAGTCAAAAGTAAAACATTCGTAAGTCGAAACTCAAAAGTGACCTTCTAAGGCTTCCATAAGTATTAAATCAAATCCATGTAAAAGTTAAGATAAAATTATGATTGTTATGATACAAGTCTTAATATAGGTCAAGGGCAAATGTGTGGTTTGTTTAACAGACAATGTCTGCATATTTAACAGATAAAAGTTGTAGTGTAAAGTAACTGTAAAATCAACTTTTCGAATTCAATTTTAAGAAATTTAGCTCGGCTTTAAAAAGGTTTGAATCTAGATATTCTTAATGAATAATGCTTATTGTGGTCATAATTATACATAATGCGAATATCTAATTAGAACAACTTATTTACATATTTTACATAATATATGAATCAAATGTTTACTTTAATTAACCTTTGCTGCATTCAAAGTACATGCATAAAATGTATGCTCTGACTGAATGCAAACTCTTTTTAAAACAATGAATAAATAATATAATCAAATGCTGTTTACAAAGAAAAAGTTTGTTCAAATTCGATTTCAATTATCCAAATAACAAATTTTAAAGTACTTGGTTAATTTAAATGAATGAAACTGTAAGACAGCAATAACTGAAATAGCATTTTCTTTTCCAGAGGATGACGATATTGAAAACGTCTTTGCTTATTCTTGGCTCAGCATTATTAATAAAAGAGTTAATAAATTACTTGGACAGCTCAGGGAGGAACATTACAACCGGGCAGTTTAACCTGACGTATGATTATATAGTAATAGGCGGGGGTTCTGCGGGTATGACAGTGGCGTCAAGATTATCCGAAGACGAGCATGTGTCGGTGTTAATTATAGAAAGTGGCAGTCATTTTGGTGATAACCCTAATTTTTTTGTACCTCCTCATTGGATAAATCTTCTTCACACAAAACATGATTGGGCATATCTTACACAGCCACAAGAACATTCTTTTCTTGGAATGAAAGATAAAAAAGGTTACTGGCCGAGAGGTCACGTTCTCGGTGGATCAGGTTCAATCAACCTGCTTCAATATACACGTGGAAGTAGGTTTGACTTCGATGAATGGGCAGCTAACGGGTGTACAGGCTGGAGTTATAAAGAAGTTTTGCCGTATTTTCTGAAATCCGAAGACATGCAAATACCAGAATTTAGAAACTCCATTTACCATAATGAAGGTGGAGAAATTGCGGTTTCAGAGGCAGATATTTCGCGTCTTTCTAAGATTTTTAGAAATGCCGGAGAAGAACTAGGTTATAAAGTTAGAGATTATAATGGAGAATTGCAAGAAGGTTTTAATAAAATACAATTTAATATACGCAAAGGGGTAAGAAGTAGTGCTGCCATTGAATTTCTGAAGAGAAAGAAAAATAATTTACATATCATTACAGAAAGTCATGCTACTAAAGTAGTTTTAGAAAACAAGAAAGCTGTTGGAGTGAATTTTATTCAAGATGGTAGAAAGAGGTATGTAAAGGCGAGAAAAGAAATTATACTATCAGCAGGTGCAATAAACACGCCTCAGATTCTTATGCTGTCTGGTGTTGGACCAAAAGAACATCTTGAAAAATTGGGGATTCCTGTTGAAAAGGATCTACCCGTTGGAAATAATTTGCAAGAGCACCAACAAGTATCTGTTTGTACAAAGACGAAAACTCAAGACAGTATAACTCCTGAAAGACTGGAAAGTATATGGAGTAAAATTCAGTATTATCTGTTCGGTACCGGACCAAGGTCCATTGCCGGGTCAGATGGTTCGGCATTTTTACATCTTGACAGCAATAATGAGGGGAAAATATACCCAGACATTCAGATGGTTCTTTTTCCAACTTTATTTGGTAAAAATTTATTTAACTACAATAATGAAGTTGCAAAAGAAATACTGGCATCCTCATCCGAGCATGGATTTTGTGTTTTTGTTGCACTGACACACCCCCGATCGCGTGGAACAATACGTCTTCAAGCCAAAGATCCATTTGATTATCCGCTTATTGACCCGCGGTATTTCCATAATCAAAGAGACGTTGATAATTTGATCGGCGGTGTTCGGATATTAGAAAAGTTACTAGAAACTCGCGCGTTCAAAGAGGTCGGCGTGGATATAAATTTCATGAAAAAAACTTTCTGTTCTCAACACAGGTTTCGCTCGGATAAATATTGGGAGTGTATGATTCGATCAACAGCTTTCACACAATTTCACCCTACTTCTTCATGTAAAATGGGACCTTTAGACCGACATGATACCGTAGTGGATCCGCAGTTACGAGTGAAGGGTGTTGCAGGTTTACGCGTTGTTGATGCTTCAATATTCCCAAATATAACTTCCGGTAATACCAACGCACCAACGATCATGGTTGCTGAGAAGGCAGCAGATCTTATTAGAGGGAAAATTACCGTAAATCATCTAAAACGATCACTTTAATATCAGGTGACTCAAAATGATTCCTAAAATCACCTTGCAGGAAAAAAAGTTAATTGTGATCTCCATTGTATAATGAAGTAGATATATCCTTTTTCACTTTGCAAAAGGATTAATTTCCTTTTATTAACATGTTTTTTTAGTTATAGTACGTAGGACATAATTTTCTTACTGAGATGTATGCGATATAAAACTACCATTATAAATAGTAAGTGCATTTGTTTTTCTTGCTTTTGAAAAATGGTAACTAAAATCTACATTGTGAAAATTAATCATACTAAGTACAGCTCTTTCAGGTTAATCACATCTACCGATTCCTAGCACTGTCATGGATAGAAACAATATGATGTAAACAGAAGTAGGTGCCCATGTCAAACATTATCTGTTGTTATATAGTGGAGATTTTTCTCATCAATTATGCCGAAAAATGGTCTTGACCCCATGTAGTTATCACTGTGCGGTTATTTTAAAGGAATATTTACTACCACAGTCAATCATTGTGACCTCCACACAGTAAGAATATCGGTATTGACTCTCGTGTTTTTCTTCTAAACAAAAAGTGACCCCTAACATAATTTTATAAGTATTCTGACATATTAATGACGATTTGCTAAAAAAACATGAAAAAGACCATGCTAACCGGAACACATGTTAAATAAGTTAAATATTCGCGTTGTGTCTTTGTTTGTTTTATGAGAAGGGAGTGTTTATAGATACTTTTACATGTATTTCTGAAGACCATAACATTTATTCGTACAGAAAATTAGAAAAACATTCATGTACATGAAACACGCGAATTAATAAATAACATCAACAGTTTACATTTACTTAATTGAACCTAAAAATATTCAACACTGATTCTGATGATTGATGGTAGGAGAACGAAATTAAGGACATATCAACAATTTTTTTATTCATCGATGGTACTACTGGTTTTCTCCCGGACATTGACCAATCATCCTACAAAAAGTGTAACAAAATTTATAAGACACATATAATATGAACAAAAAACAATATTTAAATTTAAATCAATGTTCCCAGGATATAAAACATACGATGTCGCAACGCAAATGGTCCTTCATGAAAAGTTCAAACTTATCACGGATTTAGCAAAGTCGCCAAGCTCTATGAAATCGGTTGTAACAATATTAACACCAGACGTTCCCCTTCTTTGCTGCTTGACCCATCTTATAGCTTCAGGCATAACATCTTTTGCAATATTTTCCAACAATGATCCGTTCAGGTTGCCTAGTATGAAGCCGATGTTTGGTGTAAGAACACATTGACAAACATTAAAACGCTTCACATTTTCACTATGCTTTACTCTGTCAAGAAAAGTAAACATGTTTTTCATATCTGTTGTCTCAGCCCAGTGTGACTTGCATGTGTATCCAGGCCAAAACTGACACATCTCTTTCGCTATCTGAAAATAATAAAAGAATAATAAAAAAATTGATTATTGTCATTCAGTAATCAACCTACTCAAAAGGAGGTCATAAAGTACTGGTCATTATTTTGTACCACTGATATCCCTTCATATATTTCAGAGAATATATTAGGCAATAAGCAATCTGTACGTGCGTTTCTGGGTCAATCTTGAGGTTTTGGCTCTAAATAAGGGCGTATGTCCAACTAGCAGTGCTTAGTGCATTTATCATTTCCACTGATCAGCCCTTCGCTGGTTGGAGAGATGATTCAAATGAAAAACTCTATTAATTCCTCGAATTTGAGGCTGCGGTTTCAATTGACTGGTGCATTAATCTTAACACTCAAAAATATTTACAATGGATATCCACTTAAGGGGAATTTTACATTTTTTTTCCGTTTCGAAGAAAATATAGGAAGATTTAATATTACCTCATTATGATACATAATGATAATCTGAAGGCCATTTTCCCAAAGCATATTCAAAGTCAAGCTCTCCATTCCTACAAACATAAACAATTTTTCACCACACTTCTCTAAAAGCATTTCCAAGAACTTAATATGCTGATCATCACCCATTCCATAAAAGTGATTAAAATCCAATATAACTATTTCCTTTTTGTTTATATCTAAAAACTCAATTAGTTCATCGAGCCCATCTGCCACTGATGTCCCGTACAGATTGTGGATAAAATGTATTTGGTCTGTCCCGTTCCGTGATGCAACTCGGAAATCAAAATACCTAATGCCATTCATAAGCTGTTGTTTGAGGTTTAAAGTCTGTGTAACACTCCATTTGAGAAGTATTCCTTTAGCTACTGGTCCTAAAAGTCTAATAGCCGGAGGAGCATCTGGGCCTATTTCGGAGTTTGGGTTAAGTTGGCTGCTAAACGAATCATGGGATCCTACAAACAAAACAATGAATGTCAGATAAAAAGTGAAAAAACGGATATGTTCTTAAGTATTAATTCTATTTCAAATGTAAAAGTGTGCATTTACCAAAAACACTTCTGAGGGTAGACATCTTCTAAAAATCCGCCTACTTTCATCAAGCAACAAAATGTATTAACATATCGTTTCATTATCAATTCACTTATCTATTTAACATCATGCCTAAATTACACAGCAGATATTCGGGTCGGTATTTAATTCAAATTCGAAAATTTCTCCAAGATTTGAAGTACCGGAATGTCGTTTGAGAATCGTCCATGGGTCCTTGGCTTGTGTCAAATATTGACATTGAAACCTCCAATAATGTCCCAAGAACACCATTTCAAAGTCTTAAAATGACACCTTGAAGTACAACAAAAATAATATAGAAAATACCCTGTCAACTTAATTCGATGTTCTAACGTTTAATTATTGTTTAAAAAACATTTTGGGTCTAAATCATACAGGGCCGAAACGTCGAACATTTATAAATAATTTATTTATTCTAAAGAATACCTGGTATAGCAATTTCTGACAGAGGTGTGTTCCATAATTTCTCAGGAATCTGTGACATCCATTCAATTAAGTTAATATCCATACTACCCATTTATTAAGCTTTAAATTAATTCACATTGTATCGATCTACGCTTGTTCCTACGCTTTTGAGGAGTGTCATTCGACCTGATACATGTAGTTGAATTTCACGACTTATCATTTTATATAAAATCTTACATAAATTTAAACACATCAGGTGTGGAAATCTAAAATAAGTTGAAATAAAATAAAATATTGCCAGCATTTACCTAAAGAAGTACTGAAACTGTACATAGTTATAATGTATTATATATACAACATGGAACACTATACAATTCTTTTGTTTCGTACGTGGTAAACCAATATATTATCAAACGCGTTTTCCGGTACTTTCTGTACATAGCTCTGGGGAATTCACCTCAAAATTTAGATAATTAATACTTCTCATTCTCCGTTCCCATTTGTTACAATATAAAATACATGTTGTATTGAATTCAGTACTTGAAATTAACAATGTGATCTCCTTTTTTGTTTATTTAGCTAGTCATAATTGTATTCTTATATTGTGATATTAGTGATTTTTGACTGTTATTTTTCTGTTTGTTTGCTGTTATAACCAGTTGCATATTTTATGCCTTGGTTTAATAAAAACTGAAACTGAGTGTAATAGCGAACTCGATGTTTTCGGCCTTTTTTTAAATTAAATTGAAATAAAACAGTTATTTCTTTATAAGAAAATAATTAAATATCATTGTATGAATAATTCCATACAAAAAATAAAGTAAATACACAGGTTTACGCAGAAAATAACCTTATTTATTATGGAAGATTCCACTACATGTCTGTTTTAATTTTATTGATTTTCATTATAAACAATTTTTTTTTTTTTTTAAATTTGCATTAGATATTAAAGGAATATTGATAATTTTCAAATACATCAATTTTTTTCACCTTAAACGGTAAAATAATGATAGAAAAATAGAAATATCATGTAACTGTGTTATGTACGTCATTTGGTGTAATTCCCCAGAGCTAAATCCGTAACGTACCGGAAAACGGTGTTTAGCTAGATTTTTGAAAAGGTCGCTTATGAAGGCGCTTATAAATCGTTATCAGTATTTCGTATATATTTAAGAATTGTTTATACCAAGCTTTCCAAGTGTTTATGCATTATGTTTTCACAATAAATCTACCAAAGTCGTTATTGAATTAAAAACGTACAAGAAACATTAGAAACGTGCGTAGCTACGATCGAGTGCATGTTTTCGTCTCCGCGTGCGAAGTTTTTATGCAAGAAAATAATTTTATAGTAAAAAAACCGGTAAAACTTGCATGAAGTACTATGATTTTGTTAACTCCAGCTTATTTGGTATTATCCACGAGTCATAATCTAAAAACAAAATAAAGTCAAAGAGAATATGCCTGTGATTTTCACATATCTATATATTTGTTTGCTTTGCTAATGAGTGATCTCTTCTTTTTACCAGAACATTTTACATTCACAATCGCAATTGTACAGTGTTGTATGTCAAAGTATTATATGTCCAGTTTACAAGTCTGGGTCCTTACCGAACAATTATCGGGACATTTCTATCACAAATACAATGTATAAAATATTTTCTTGCGTTGTTAATAAAAGGTTATATAATTGGGCTGAAGAAAATAATAAAATAGACGAATGTCAGGCAGGTTTCAGGTGTAATTACTCAGCTATTGATAATATTTTCTGTTTACAAGCCATGATACAAAAATACTTGTCTAAAAAAGGTGGTCGTTTTTATTGTTTATATGTCGATTTCCGAAAAGCTTTTGATAAAATTGACCATTCAAAATTATTTGATTCACTACAGAAAATAGGCATTCATGGTAATTTTTTACGGGTTTTAAAATGTATGTATTCCGATTTAAAGCCTTGTGTGGAAAACTTTTTCCCGTGAAACATAGGAACAAGACAGGGAGATAAATCTAGTTCGACTATTTTTATTCTTTTTATCAATGAGTTGTCTATCTTACTTAGACAAAACTGTGGCACAGGAATATTTATTACTAATGATATACCTGATATATTATGTCTTATGTTTGCCGATGATGTAGCAAACTGTGCAGAGACTGTATCTAAATTACAACAACAATTAAATGTAATTGACACTTTTTGTTATAATACTGGAATGGAAATCAATCTTGATAAAACAGAAGTAATTGTTTTTATTTGTTTGGGTCGTCAGACCAATCAAATAATGGTAGCGAAATTTCAGAGCCTAATGCTGTTAATTGCAATTGCCTAAAGTAGTCCACTTTTTTGAAGCGGTTACTTCCCTTTATATGTACACTAACGCCGAAAAATTCAGGGGAGATCAATGCGTAAAGATTGTCAAATGACAGGCGCATTAATTTTCAAGCAAAGTAGTTCCCGAATGGTCGAAGATTTCTAATATTGTTTCATTCTTTATAGATATACATGCTTACAGTAAGCTTCAGGATTATTTACATATGTGTTAAACAACGTTAAACAACATGTTTAGCGTCGAAATAATAAGAGTTACAAACCCTAATTAGAATAATATGGTTTTCTTCAGGCCGTTAACATGTAACTTCACCGTGGCCGAGGGGTTTGCACGCTCGCTCATGAATCGAGAGGTCTGAAGTTCGAATTCCAGTTGAGGCAACATATATTTTATATTTTTTTTAAGTCAAATAAACATTGAATTGACTATCAGTGTTGCAATTAGTCTTATAGCCAATTTACTACAGTTAAAACACTGGAAAGCATTGGTGGCACTATACAAAAACAAATTGGTTTATAATTTCACAACCTTCACCTTTCTGACATTCTGAGACCCAAACAAATTCAGCGCCTTCTGTGCTTTGATTCGTAATGGTGGTCCTTTACGTAATTATGAGAAATGGTATTTCCGAGGTAAAATCTTAAATATAACATCTATGTATAAGTATAAGTATATGGGACTCATTTTCACTCCTCAATTATCATGGACTCACGCTAAGGAAAAAATGACATCTCAAGACCAAAAGGCAATATTATCGTTAAAATATTATCAGAAACCTTTCGGTCATTTTCCAAGTAATTAATTGTTTAAAATTTTTGACCATATGATTAAACCAATTTTATGCTATGGATCACAAATATGGGGTTTTGAATATAGCCAAACTATTGAATATGTGCATAACGATTTTTGTCGAAAACATTTATCTGTTAAAATAACTACAAATACAGCTATGGTTTTAGGGGAATGTGGTAGGTTGCCCTTAAGTATTTCGTACATGACAAACTGCATACGATATGTTTGTAAACTTCTGACCATGCCTGCATCTAGATATCCTAAACAGTGTTATTTAATGTTGAAGTCACTAGACGATGTAGGTCGAATATGTTGGGTAAACAAAGTTAAACATGTACTGTTTAGATATGGTTTTGGTTTTGTCTGGATATCTCAAGAAATTGGTGACACGAATATGTTCCTTATACTTTTCAAACAATTAAGACTTATTGATTGTTGTACTCAACAATGGTATGAAAATATAACGAATTCTAGTAGATGTTTTCACTATAATAAATTTAAATCACTTTTAAATGTTGAACGATTAATAGAAATACCATTTAAACATAAAAAGGCGTTTTGTAATTTTCGTTGCTCCAACCATAAATTCGGTATAGAAATAGACAGACATAATAATATCACAAGGGAAGAACGTTTGTGTACAACTTGTAATGATAGTATAGATTGTGAATTCCATGCTTTCTTTATATGTAAAAAATACAAACATATCCGTGATAAGTATTTATTCAATTGGTATTTTGGCGGAAAAGAACTACATGATTTTTATGTATTATTAGGTACACGTGATATAATCACATTAAGGAAGCTTATGTTTTATGTATATGTTTTAATGGATAACATAAACAACTAGTCTTTTTTCGCATAAATAAACATTGTTAAGGTGACACAACCATATTACAATATTGTTGTATGTATGCTATGTATTTTGGGCCGGAGGCCTTTGAACACAAATAAAGTTATTTGAATTTATGTCAGCTTTTTGCACACGCATCTCAGTGTGTATTTCCTGTTCCTTTAGATCATTGTTTCCAAAATTAGAGATTGCTTCAGGCGGTGCTAGGGGGTGTGAGAGATGTTGCGTCTTAGCTATCTCAAAGAATCAGTCAGAGGACTTTCGATTAAATTGATTGTCAATTAAAGATCAATTAACTCAGTGTCGGGCAAACTATACGTTAACACAGAGGACCCTTCTTATATACCAATAGATCAATCGCCGAGTGGTAAATGTCGTTGTCATCAAACCCTTTGCCCCTCAGTCACCGCTGTGAGATCGTCGAGGACTGGGTTCTCTCATTTAACGAAGCTACAATGCGTCCAGCAAATTCACGTTCTACTCAGGTGATCGTTCAAGCCTGAAATAATGCACGGAGGAGCACCGATGTGCTTCTCATTAAAGCTGGAAAGTCGCCATTTGGTAGAACTTTACGTAAAACACAACAAAAAAAATTAGGTAATAATTATACTAACGTTTTACGAAAACTCATATACATGTTCCAACATTTTTAAAAAGAAAATCCAAATTGTTCAACTGATCTAACATTTCAAAGGGTGCCTGCCGCCCTGACGTCAAGAGTTGTTAATACTTGTGCAACTGTTGAAACATTTTCAAACAACTTTACCAAACCTGTGTCTTTAGTTAAGTTATTGTTTTATTTACCTATAGAAAGGTCGTTCTTCCATTCAAAAATGGTTCTGATTTTTATACATCAGCTGCATTATTACAAGAAGATGTTATTTGTACCCACTTCCGAATTCCTAATTTCGATCCGAGCCTTAAATATAATAACTTCCGGTGGATATTTATAGAAATTTTGCTTGGGCCACATGAGTTATTTATCGTTCATGCGAAGTAACTTATAAAATTGAAAGGAATTACAGCAAATGTTAACTTACTGTTACTTTCACCTGTTCACTCGTGATACATCCTTAAATGGGCATAATGTCACTTTAAAGATGGCTGTGCTACATTGTGAAGTGTTCGTTCAATCTATTTCAAACTGAACAGATCTTCCAAACATTCAATATGTCACCTCCCATAAGTAAATACGAGCAATTCTTGGAAAACTTTTTGAATACTTTATTTTAAGACTAGACATAAAACACAAACATCACCCAATGAGTTTAGCAAGTTCTGGTGGTGTAATATTGCCTCCTGTGACAACAATTACCACTTTCTTCCCTTTTACATCCTTAATGCGTCCTTGCGCAAGCGCAGTAAATGCTGCTGAACCGGCTGGTTCCACTTTCAGACCTCGGTCGTACAGAATCTTCATGCTTTCTACCATTTCTTCGTCGGATACAAGCAATACCTCCTCTAAATACTGTTTGCATATCTTATACGGTATCTCCCCTGTCGACAGTAATAACATATACATTTTTGAGGTTGCATTCTATATTACCTTGTAATATAATAACAACTTTGACCACAAATTGAATCATCAAGTTCTAAAGACGTAGGCTAACATGTTATGACCATAAAAATAACAATAATGGTTCTAATGGTTATCAAAAATATGTGACCTTGACCTAGATGTATATTAGCCTTGCACTAAATAGTAATAACTTGTTATGTTTCAAGGACAATGGTACAATCAAAGAAGGGTCGTATATCCAGGTCAGCCTTAAGTATGTTTATATGGGCGCCATCTTGAATTCACTGAATGAGCTATTATGCACATCAAATTTATAAGGCGGCCATTTTAAAAATGGCGGCCATCTTGGATGAGCAGAGATATTTTTGGGCCTACTTTACCTTTTGAATTTTTGAATCTCTGTAGTCTAAAAATGATGTCCTGAAAGTTTCATGCTTGTATCACAATTTGCACTATTTTGACAGGAGAGACCTTATTTCCCGCTCCACTATAGTTTGAAAATGTTCTATGCTACTTGCTAATTTGTAGCACTGCATTATGATATTCAAAATTATAAGAGCCAGCACAGAAAATTCTAAATTCAAAGTAGAATAAGTTGCAGAAACATAGCTTTACCGGCACAAGGGGGCATCATAGACCCGTGAGTGACTGTATGAAAATGAATATGATAAACTAACAGCGTCACAAGTAAATAGCTTTTCACGTTACCAACAGGCAGTATTGTATTAAATCAAATCCATGTAAAAGTTAAGACAAGTTAAATGTTGATGCTGCACATCAAAGACGTCGCCAAATGATGTGACCAGTCACAGCTAATGTACAAAATCAGTATTGAAGATCGTTCTATATTACAGCTGAATATCCGAAAGCACTAATTTTTTTTCTCCATGTTCTTGGTATGTGTCTGAAATTCTGAAATGTTTGTCTGTTGCAACAAAGATTGAAACGTCTGGTAGAAGCAAATTAAATTGGATAACAAGTGAAATTGAAATGATTGGTAAAATTAAAATAAATTCAAGACAATATGTGCTGAGAATATGGCCATTTAAATATTGGTTCGAATTGCATAATGTTTGAATGATTTTGAGGATATTTTACAAATAGCAAAAATATGTCTGTAATATCAAATAGTAGTTAATAAATTACGTAACAAAGAATTGATATATATAATCAATTCTTTGTTACGTATTGTGTACTTATTTATAAAAGATTAAACTACTTGAATAAATATCGGATTGCATATTCGCCTAGAATCTAGGTATGGTAAAAATAATCTCCGTTACGTATTTTAGTGATACCTCTTGTTCTCTGCCCGTCATTAGACTATATACGGGTCTGTGTTGAACTAGGGGTTAAGGGAGAACCGCCTCTCTGATAGTAGGCGTGGTTAAGGCTTTGTAACTGTAATTTAATAATTCGTCAAGTAATATTGATCATAATTGTCCTGGTTTCCTCCCCCCCCCCACCCCCTTCAACGAAGACTTAATGCTAGCATATTGAATTTGGCGACAATTTAAGGCGGAGACGAACTTCAACAGAGGGGGCGGGGGGGGGCAAATGAAGTGAGTGACACTGCTTCAGTCCTTACCTCCCTTAACGGTTATGCTTTAGAACGATCGACTAAAGACTGGCTCATTGGCACGCTATTTATTAGGTAGATAAAATTAGAAAATAATAAAAAGAATATGATATTTAAACATGACACTATCACTTCAGTTAAACGTTTATGTTAATCCCTTAAAGCTCTGTGACATGTTGTACATCAGAAAAGCTATTTTTATTAGAAAATTTGAAAACAATGTGATTTTGATAAAACAAAAACAATTGCACGATATCAAGTCTAAAATTTTCCCCACTGCTAAACGAAAAATCAATAGGGGTCATCTACTGGTCATGACCAATCCACATACCAGGTTTGAAGTTCCTAGGCATACGCGTTCTTTAGTTATTGATCGGAAACCGTTTTCACCTACAAGGTCAATGTGACCTTAACCTTTGACCCCTTGACCCCAAAATCAATAGGGGTCATCAGATTCTGCTGGTCATGACCATTCACTATACCAAGTTTGAAGTTCCTATGCCTAAGCGTTCATTAGTTATTGATCGGAAACCGTTTTTACTTACAAGGTCAATGTGACCTTGATCTTTGACCCCTTGACCCCAAAAACAATAGGGGTCATCTACTGATGACCAATCACCATACCAAGTTTGAAGATCCTAGGCCTAAGGGTTCTTTAGTTATCGCTCGGAAACCATTTGGTCTACGGACCGACGGACCGACAGACAGACAAATGCAAAGCAATATACCCCCTCTTCTTTGAATAAATAATAAGTATAATCTATATTGTGAAAATTAATCATACTAAGTGCAGCTCTTTCAGGTTTATCACATCTACCGATTCCTAGCGCTGTCATCGATAGAAACAATATCGATGTAAACAGAATCAGGTGCCCATGTCTAACATTATCTGTTGTTACATAGTGGGTATTTTTTTCACATCAATTAATTTATGACGAAAAATGGTCTTAATAAAAATCATGCAATGGGCTTTTATAAACAAGACACTGAACAGAACATGTTTTCAACTGCAATCATTTAAACAGGTATAAAAGTAAATGACAGACAAGTTGATTCCTAATCAAAAAAGATCTATAACCCATCCGTGCATATCTAGACCTTGACTTCTTGTCGCGTTGTATCGCGTTGTATCCTATATACCATCACAAGTAACTTTGTGGTAAACTACCATTGACATTGCCTTAGAAATAAAAGCGATGTAACAAAAGAGACTGACCCCATGTAGTTATCACTGTACGGTTATTTTAAAGGAATATTTACTACCCCAGTCAATCATTGTGACCTCCACACACTAATTATACCAGTATTGACTCTCGTGCTTTTCTTCTAAACAAAAAGTGACTCCTAACATAATTTTATAAGTATTCTGACATATTAATAACGATTTGCTAAAAATAATGAAGTAGACCATGCTAACCGGAACACATGTTAAATTAGTTAAATATTCGCGTTGTGTCTTTGTTTGTTTTATGAGAATGGAGTGTTTATAGATACTTTTACATGTATTTTCTGATAACATTTATTCGTACAGAAAAATTTGAAAAACTTTCATGTACATGAAACACGCGAATTAATAAATAACATCAACAGTTTACATTTACTTAATTGAACCTAAAAATATTCAACACTGATTGTGATTATTAATGGTACAGAACGAAATTAAGGACATTACAAAAAGTATCTTATTCATCCATTGTACTACTATTTTTCTCCCGGACATTGACGGATCATTCTACAAGATGTGTAACAACATTCATAAGACATATATAATATGAACAAAAAACAATATTTAAATTTAAATCAATGTTCCTAGAATATAAAACATACGATGTCGCAACGCAAATAGTCCTTCATGAAAAGTTCAAACTTATCACGGATTTAGCAAAGTCGCCAAGCTCTATGAAATCGGTTGTAACAATATTAACACCAGACGTTCCCCTTCTTTGCTGCTTGACCCATCTTATAGCTTCAGGCATAACATCTTTTGCAATATTTTCCAACAATGATCCGTTCAGGTTGCCTAGTATGTAGCCGATGTTTGGCGTAAGAACACATTGACAAACATTAAAACGATTCACATTTTCAATATGCTTTACTTTGTCAAGAAAAGTAAACATGTTATTCATATCTGTTGTCTCAGCCCAGTGTGACTTGCATGTGTATCCAGGCCAAAACTGACACATCTCTTTCGCTATCTGAAAATAATAAAAGAATAATAAAAACTTTGATTATTGTCATTCGGTAATCAACCTACTCAAAAGGAGGTCATAAAGTACTGGTCATTATTTTGTACCACTGATATCCCTTCATATATTTCAGAGAAAATATTAAGCAATAAGCAATCTGTACGTGCGTTTCTGGGTCAATCTTGAGGTTTTGGCACCAATTAAGGGCGTATGTCCAACTAGCAGTGCTTAGTGCATTTAGCATTCCCATTGATCAGCCCTTCGCTGGTTGGAGAGATGATTCAAATAACAAAACCTATCAAGTCCTCGGATTTGAGGCCGCGGTTTCAACTGACTGGTGCTTTAATCTTAACACTCAAAAATATTTACAATGGATATCCACTACAGGGGAATTTTACATTTTTTCTTCCATTTCGAAAAAAAAATAGGAAGATTTAATAATTACCTCATTATGATACATAATGATAATCTGAAGGCCATTTTCCCAAAGCATATTCAAAGTCAAGCTCTCCATTCCTACAAACATACACAATTTTTCACCGCACTTCTCTAAAAGCATTTCCAAGAACTTAATATGGTGATCATCACCCATTCCATAAAAGTGATTAAAATCCAATATAACTATTTCCTTTTTGTTTATATCTAAAAACTCAATTAGTTCATCGAGCCCATCTGCCACTGATGTCCCGTACAGATTGTGGATAAAATGTATTTGGTCTGTCCCGTTCCGTGATGAAACTCGGAAATCAAAATACCTAATGCCATTCATAAGCTGTTGTTTGAGGTTAAAAGTCTGTGTAACACTCCATTTGAGAAGTATTCCTTTAGCTACTGGTCCTAAAAGTCTAATAGCCGGAGGAGCATCTGGGCCTATTTCGGAGTTTGGGTCAAGTTGGTTGCTAAACGAATCATGGGATCCTACAAACAAAACAATGAATGTCAGATAAAAAGTGAAATAACAACCGGATATGTTCATAAGTATTAATTCTATTTCATATACACTTAAGGTAGACAAGCTTCTGACCCCCCCCCCCCCACTTTTCATCAAGCAACAAAATGTATTAGCATATATCATTATCAACTCAGATATTTGATATTTATTCAACATCATGGCTAAACCATTCAACATCATGGCTAAACTACACGGCAGACATTCGGTCCAAATTCGAATGTGTTAAAGTTAATATTGTTAAAAGTAATGACAACAAATACATATTTAATTTAATTCTCCATCTGTTCATATTTGTTATTTTATTCCGGTTTGATGAAGCTAGTGGAGTTTTTTTTACTTTTGTTGTTGTTGTAGTTTGTTGGTTTTTTGTTTTTGTTGTTGTCGACGTTGTTGTTTTTTTTTAAAGGTACGCCTTTCTTATATTATAGCATTACTGGAATGTAGACAATCATTATAAGTACATGTACAGGATTAAAGTTTGTTATATTTCTGGAATTCACTGCCAATAATATTTTTAAGCTTAACTTTAGTTTGAAAAAAGAAATACTGGTGTTTAAAAATCCGATCGATTATATTTCACAAATAAACAGTCAATTCATAAAATATGTGTTCAACGGTTAAAAAATTATACTGATTTCATCTTTCTATTTAAGCAATTAAGAAAGGATGTACGAGTCTCGAAATATTTCAAACAAACTATTAACAGAAATAATTATGTGAAGTAGGTAGTACCGTTAAATTTTGAAGAGAATGAACACAAACCCCATCTGATGTTGTCTTTAGTTTTTCATTTATTCTTTTTCAGTCATTCCTTAATAAATTATATATTAGTAGAAGCTATAAGGCCTAATAAATTGTGTTGTTAGGGTAACATGTTCTCCGCGAATATGTAGGGTAGGTCGGATTTTCTAATTTTTTTTAAATCAGGTTTAGTTCTCGACATCTAAATCCGGAGAAAATGAACACAAATCACATATGATTTTGTCTTTAGTTTTTCCTAAAAAAATCCCTTGTCTACTTAGTTCGCTGTTTTAAAGTTTAACTGTTATTTTAGCATTTTAGGTCGAAATCATACAGGGCCGAAACGCCAAACATTTATAAATAATTTATTTATACTAAAGAATACCTGGTATAGCAATTTTTGACAGAGGTGTGTCCCATAATTTCTCAGGAATCTGTGACATCCATTCAATTAAGTTAATATCCATACTAGCCATTTATTAACCTTTAAATTAATTCACAATTGTATCGATCTACGTATCTCACCTTAAAACCTACGCAGTGATCTCCCCTTATAGACCTAATGAGGTCTAAATTCGACCTAAATTCGACCTGATACATGTACTGTATTGGCTGAGTGCGCTTATAAGTCGTTATCTGTATTTCGTATATATTTAAGAAACAATTGCTCGTATTATTTATATCATGCTTTCCAAGTATTTAAGCCTTATGATTTCATAATAAATCTACCAAAGTCGTTATTGCATTAAAAAGTACAAGAAACACTAGAAACGTGCGTAGCCACAATTGCATGTGTTCGTCTATCTGCGTGCGAAGTTTTTATGCAAGAAAATAATTTTATAGTTAAAAATAACCGGTAAAACTTGCATAAAATATCATGATTTTGTTAACTCCAATTTATTTTGTATTATCCACGAGTCATAATCGTAAAACAAAATAAAGTCAAAGAGAATATGCCTGTAATTTTCACATATTTAATTAGCTATGCTAATGAGTGATCTCTTCTTTCTACCAGAACATTTTACATTCAATTCGCAATTGTAAAGTGTTGAATGTCTGCTGTTTGCACACGCTTCATCTCAGTGTGTATTTCCTGTTCCTTTAGATCAGTTTCCAAAACCTTAATATAATTAAAGACTGCTTCAGGCGGTGCTAGGGGTGTGAGAGATGTTGTGTGTAAGATATCTCAAAGAATCAGTCAGAGGACTTTCGATTAAATTGATTATCAATTAAAGATCAATGAACTCAGTGTCGGGCAAACTATACGTTAACACAGAGGACCCTTGTTATGTAGCAAAAGATCAATCGCCGAGTGGTAAATATCGTTGTCATCAAACCTTTTGCCCCTCAATCACCGCTGTGAGTTCGAATCCTGTCGAGGACTGGGTTCTCTCATTTAACGAAGCTACAATGCATCCAGCAAATTCACGTTCTACTCAGGTGCTCGTTCATGCCTGAAATAATGCACGGAGGAGCACCCGAGGTGTTTCTCCATCAGTAAAGTTTGAAATTCGCCATTTGGTAGGTTACGTTAAACACGACAAAAAATTAGGTAATAACAAACGTTATACGAAAACTAGTTATACACGTTCCAACATTTTTATAAAGAATAATCCAAATTGTTCAACTGAACTAACATTTACATGGGTGTCTGCCGTCCTGACGTCTAGAGTTATTAATACTTGTAAAACATGTTTAAACATTTTCAAACAACTTTACCAAACCTGTGTTGTTAGTTAAGTTATTGTTTTATCAACCTATAGAAAGGTCATTCTTCCATTCAAAAATGGTTCTGATTTTTATACATTCAACTGCATTATTACAAGAAGATGTTATTTGTACCCACTTCCGAATTCCTAATTTCGATCTGATACCAAAATGACATCATGCTCATTTTTTCAATGTCAAGTTAAGCTAAATTGAATATATACATGTATTTCAAAAGATTGAATACTATAATGCAAATTGACCAACAGTTGATATTGGAAAATGTTTAAGATAAAATATAAATCTGACTTAAATATAATAACTTCCGGTGGATATTTTATAGAAAATTTTTTTTTTGGCCACAGAGTTTTTTAGTTATGCGAATAAATATAAAAGAAAAGGAAACAGCAAATGTTTTAAACTTTCTGTTATTCAAAATGTTACTCGTGAACACCTTTAAATGGCAAAATTCATTTTAAAGATGGCCTGGCTACTTTTTAAGGGTTTTCGTTCAATCTATTAAAATGAACAAATCTTCCAAAACATTAAATATTCACTCTCAAAGTAAATCCGAAAAAAATTTTTTAAATTATTTTATTAGATTTAGACATAAAACACAAACACACCTAATGATTTTTACCCAAATTCTGGGGTTGTAATTTTGCCCCCGGGAAAACCCAATTTACCTTTTTCCCTTTTTCCCCACCCTTTAAATTTGCCCTTGCGCAAGCGAAATTTAAATGCTCCCAAAACCGGCTGGCCCCCATTTTCAAACCTGGGTTTCTACAGAATTTTCATTTTTCTACCATTTTTTTTCGGGGTTTAAAGCAATCCCTCCTCTAAAACTTTTTGCAATCTTATACGGTTTTCCCCCCCTGTCGCAGTAAAAACATCAACTTTTTTTAACTATTTGAAATAAACCGGTTTTTTGTTTCAAATCAAAGTAACAAGAAAGCCAATTTTAGAAACGGTTTCATTAAAACCCAAACCCGGTTGAAATTCTTTTAACCCTTTTAAAATTTTAAATAACAATTTTGACCTAAATTAATCACAAGTTCAAAAAACTTTGGGCTAAAAATTTTTATGCCCAAAAAAAATAAAAATAAGGTTTTAATTTGGTTTTAAAAAAATATTGACCTTACCTAAAATGATTTTACCCCTTCACAAAAATAGTAAAATTTGTTATTTTTCAAGGGAAAATGGAAAAAATAAAAAAACGGTCTTATACCCCAGGTCGGGGCCTTTTAGATTTTTTATTTGAAAAATGTCCCAGGCTACTTGCTAATTATAGTACTGCATTATGATATTCAAAATTATGAGAACCAGCACAGAAAATTCTAAATTCAAAGTAGAATAAGTTGCAGAAACAGCTTTACCGGCACAAGGGGGCATAAGACCCGTCGCCACTGATTTTACACCAGGTATTGTCACAGCATGTCCGGCTTTGAAACTTTCATACAATGTTGGAGCTGAAAAATGCAAATGAGATGTGTTTTTCTGCGTTAGACAACATTATCTGTAGAAATTAAGATAATATACTAGATAGATGAGCTTGCTAATGAATGCTTAATTACAATGATTTAAAGACTCCACTCGGGGTTTTCAGAAATATATTTCCCAGACTTATATGTACCATTTAGTAAAGGTCTGAACCAAACACTCGTATGCAAAATTTCAGAGCATTCCCTCAGCCCGTCAATCCAGATTCATCATTTTTACAGTACAATATAACCCAAAATTGAAAAGCGTTGTAACATTTTTCGCTCAAATTTGGATAAGAATCTCACAAAAAAATCGATTTTCCAATTAATTTTGAGCACATTTCTTCGTCATCTTTTGCAGATTTTTCAATTTAAAGTGCTGTACTTAATCTAAGTGAGAATTTCAAATTTTATGTTTTAGGCTTTTTGACCTCAGGGCTCCTTTGAAATAAGTGTACCATTCAAACAAATCCAACAGAATTTTTGTTTCGTATAAAAGCTTGCGAACAAAGATATTTTGTGACTTACCTCCTGTTGGTTCGACGGCATACACTCTACAATCTTTGCATCCTGAGAGTTTTAAACCTGCAGCCACACCAGCAACGAGGCCGCCGCCACCACAACATACAGCTACAACATCCGGGTCAGGTACAACCTTTAGAATCTCCATAGCTATACTAAAATACATGAAATTCCAGTTCCTTCAATATTTTCTAGTTACAGAAATAATAAGGTCGGGTATGTCCAAAAATTGTCTTAAAGGAGCTCCAATGAGGTAAAAAAATCAACTAAAAACGTAAAATTTGAAATACAACGATCAAGTGAAGCAAATAAAATGGAAAACTCTGCAAAAGATAATGAAGAAATATGCGAAGAAAAATAAATGGAATTTGATTTTTGTGCGGTTCTTATCCCTATTTGCCAACGCTTTTCATTTTTTGATTATTTTTCAATACATAAAAGACTGGTGGAGGGAATGATCTTAAATTTTGCACCCTTCACCACATGGTCTGGGACATATATTTCTAGTTCTGTCATGTGAAAAGCTCTTGGAGTCCCTTTAAGAAAACGTACAATTTTCGATTTCTTGTCATTATTCCATGAGCTTAGTTATAATTATTTGGGGTCCATTGTGACCATGACATATAAGGATCCCTTTCATAACCGGTAAAGGTTTTTCCGTATATCTGTTCTCATGTATGCCAGTCCGTTTCCCCAGAGATCAAACTTTCGGATCAGATCAAAATAAATTATCTGTATAATAGAGAAATTGAAAGCTAAAGGTCGCCAAACAATTCCAGTTTGGAATTTTTGCAGACTCGCTTTGATCGAGTCAGTATAGGTGGCCGTGGCAGATAACCTTTAGAAAAAAACGGTCACAATCTTACCTCCTTAACCTTGAGACACCTACTTATTTATAAGAGGACAGTGTGTTTTGCTATTGTTCAATTCCAAAACTATTTACCTTCCATATCCGGTTACAAGATTGACGTCATCAAATGAATGTAACAATATATACCCATCTGCAACGCACTTCTTTACGTGCTCGTAAATTTCGTGCGATGGTACTTTTCGTGCCTCTAAACCAAAGCTCTGTAAATGTAGTCAAATTAGAACTGTGAAAAGATACTTTGAACATGAATTAACATTATTTGATTCCGATAAGCACGTTTTAGCTTTACCCTTAGACAAGATAGTTGTTGAAAATAACTGGCAAAACAAAGTCCTGCCCAGCCAAGATAGCGATGAACATTGAAGAGACTCTTTACAGTTTATGGCACAATCTTTAGTATTTTGATTCCGAAATTCCTCAAAACTATGTACTTAATTGTACCTCAACATCATGAAGTCACTCTCTAAAATCTTAATACAATGTTTATACATAATGAATTGTTACACTTATTCCTAACCAAAAATTTACTTTACTAACTTACATTTATCATATCAACTCGGTCGTCTGGTGCTGTATGGGGCATCAAAACCAACCCTTTGAGTCCTTTTTTACTCATACAATATGCAAAGGCTTTGCCATAGTTTCCCGCCGAAAACGTCACTGCCTCACCACTTCCGTCACGGACTTCCGGTGGTAAATGTTCCATCTGATTTGTAACTCCACGAATTTTGAATGATCCTTATATATAGAGAATTCAACAGAATGAGGATAAGTTGAAACGAGTTCGAATAGCATGTAAATTATACATTTAATTAAAGATGTGCATTTGATTTCCTTAATTCCTTCTTTTTTCTTTTATTGTTCTTCATTGTTCAGACAGTTTTCAGACATGTACTGAGGCGGATATCTACATACATAATGTTTCTCGACTTTGTAACGTTCAAATCTGGGCAAATATGTTATATAGATTTCACTGACTTATCGGCGGATATAATTTTTCTGCCATCAATAGAAATATCACTAAAACATGATGTGCTGGAACGTCTACAGTGAGTTTGATTTAAACATCATATGTTTGTAAAATGTTAAAAAAAGAAAGAGAAAAACTTTAACAATTTTACCTGTCGTTTGCATATTTTCCAGTTTGAGATATAAATCTACGTCTTGGTCGATTTTAGGAAACATATTTTGCACATGGCACAGAAGAGGTGTCTGAATTATGTCAGGATTGCTATATAAGACATCACATGCCTTCTTTATACCATCTAAGCTTACCAACTCGGCCATAATGCAATGTGTCAAAAGTTGTCCAAGAGAACTGAAACAAAAAATATAGTATTCCGCTTTAGGTAAATTGCATCAAGTTAATTAACTTGATTGGTTTCACTCTGTGTAATGGAGCAAGGGGGACCACTGCGTAGGAGTATGGGTAAATCGACACTTTGGTTCCCTCCCCTGACGCATTAAAGGGAAACAAATACATGTTAGACAAGATATAAACATTACATATTTATTCCTTTACCATTTAATCACAACAATATAGTCTACAATGAAACAAATAATTAATAACAGTTGTATACAAAAAAACTGGAGTCTGCGTAACAATATTGGTTACAAGCTGAGCATTAACTTACCTAAATTAAGTAATGTTTTTCACAAAAAGAGCTATGCATGGGCGGGTAATGTTTTTCACAAAAGAGCTATGCATGGGTGGGTATTGTGTAGAGGCTACTGTATCGCCGGTTATATATGTATATGTTAGCTTAAATAGCTGGTTAAATGTACAAATTCAATTCTTTCAGATTTTTATTCTTTATTAAGTAATGTTTCAGTTTTGTTGTTTTTCTGTATAACACCACATTTGCACAATTTCGGTGGAGCACAACTTAAAAACATTAAAAAAAATATCAAATTTACATATTTTGAAATTTTACTATAATCTTTAAAAAATACTCCCAATCTATCTGTAAATAATTTTAAGGTACTGAAATTATAGCATTTTTTCTCCCTTTTTAACATAAGGTGATTAAATTCAGGAATAGAGGGACCCTCGATATCCCTCGGAAACAATGACATCAGTCTGGGAGGACATAATCCCAGTAACAATCAATTAAATAGTAAAAGGTGAAGATTGCAAACTCCGTTTGATTGAGTTTATTCGGGAGAAATAATTAGGTCCAACATCTCTCACGCACCCAAGCACCGTCATGGTAATCAATCCTCGACATATTTATTTATTAGTTTATTACAGTCTCATCAATGTACACAGTTAAAATACATATAAAATACAATATAAATGCACATTGCCAATCTATAAGATTTACAAGAGACTAAAGGTTGACTTACTATTTACATATAAAATTCTAAAAAATCTAAAATACCCTTGCTAATTTAAACCAGAGTAGAATATATGATAAAATGAATCTACTGATGTAATTTAAAATATTGAGGTAGCAAATTACTTCCAAAAATTCTATATAGAAATTATGTTGTGGTTAAATTTAATCAAAATCCGGTTTAGAAGATTATTAGCAAAGGTATTTTCTAAATCGTACATATATATCTAAGAACACATAAAAGTTATTTAAAATAATGTCAGTTGTATAAAATTAGTTTTCTTCTATTCAATATGTTAAAACAGGTTTTGGCAGTTAAAAATACAATGTCTGCATTGGAGAGAATATATCCTACTTTATCAATGTCTGAGAGGGCATCAAAACCATCGTTTAGCATTTGTGCTTCTCGAATCAAGTCGTTACGGATGGAATCATATAGAGGGCAATATAATAATACATGCTTTTCATCCTCTACAATAGTTTGACAGTGGGAGCACAATCGTTGTTCCACTGGCAAACCATTGTAGCGTCCTAACTTTATACCAATTGGAGCTGTGCCAACATATACATGTTTTGCAGTTGGCAGATTCCTGTTTCAGTATGATATATATACATGTAAATTATTTAAATATTTATCTCAGTTAGCGGGTGTTATCAGTTGGGTCGTTTGCTTTTATCGTTTGACATAGCACGTTTTGCACTTGACCGTAACAGAGTTTCAATTGGACGAAGGAAAGAAAGTGTAACACCTGAAGTGTAGTCAAGAGTACACATGAATTAAAATTTTAAAAAATACGGTATCAAATCGTTCTTCATCCAGTGATTTTAATGAATAACTAATTAGTCATAATTATTCTATCTATGATCTTCCCTTACAAATTTACCAGATTTAAATTCGTTTTAAAGGCTTGTCTTCATGGATGTCCATGTGTTTTAATGAACTATTTTTGGGAGTCTTTGTTGAATGAAAATATCAATGAAACCAAGTACAAAATGAAAAACAGACACACACAGAACCGATATGCATGTACTTATAAGTGCTGTGAAAGAAAAAAAATGTTTAAAGATAAAACGATGGTTAAATCCATCCTTTTTATAGTAGCATATCCGCCTTCATTTAAAAGATTTTCTAACGTTGTTTGCATACAAAACATGTTAGTTAATAGCCTCTCATTTCTCTGTGTTTTCTAGAAAATATGCAATAATAAAAGTCTTACCTATGTTTAATTGGATAAACCTTTTGACCTTATTCTATAACTAACACCCAAAATATTAGAGGGAAATAAATCTTACATGACCTCCTTGATAACAAATTCTGATAAATTCGTCATCAGATTTAAGATTTTGAATCGGAAGACTGTATCATATGTTTATGTAGTTTATACTGAAGACATAATATTATATCACATATTTTGAAATTAAGTAAAATAGTTTTCTTACGAATACATGTACTTTATTCCCATGTTAATTAATTATACTACATAAATACAAATTAAAGTTTTACAATATACATTTAGGCCTACTCTGTAAACTACATGTATTTTCATTTGAAAAATCTCATTCTGAAAAGACTACAAAGGTGTGCTCCAAAAAAAAAAAAAAACATTAACAAAACGCAACAGCTAAAAACAATGCAATATGTGCTTCACATTGCCTAGTCTCAATATTTCGACTGCAAGACCGACCGATTTTATAATCTGATTTTTCATAGAATAATATGATGTCTGGCGCGCCATCATCAATATAATAAAAAGCCCTAAATTTAAAGCGCACAATTTGTTGGGCTACACATTGCCTTGATTGTAGGGGCCTGATGGTAAGCATGATTATCGTTAGGCCAAAGCTAGATCCTGAGATATTGTTTATTATATATATATATATATATATATATATATATATATATATATATATATATATATATATATATATATATATATATATATATATATATATATATATATAGTAATTAAGTGATTAATTTAATATATCCAATGTCAATACCATTAACTTACGTACGTGTATGTAGATCAACATGCAATTATACAGGGAATCCAAACACAAATAACACTAAGGATGACAATTTGAAAATATTTTTCAGCACATGTCTACTGTAAAGAAAATATTATTGAAGTTTCTTGAACTTATCAATTAATTTTCCAATTAAGCTTATTCTACCGCAAAATCTTATTTTCTGGCGAGAACGCAGACACAGTCCAGACCACAGGCACGAGTATCGGACCTGGGAAGAAAATATGGCCACATTAATAAAAAACCTACATGTATGTGTTCATCTTTAATGTGTCAAAATAAAAAAAAAGTGAAAAATGAGCCCCCTTAAAAATATACTATAAGTTAAGGAATACTTAATTTATAAAATAGGGCAAGTACAAAGATCAGCTGCTAGATACATTTTTAATGATTATGACTATACAAGTAGTGTCTCAAAAATGATAAATGATCTAAATAAAAATTATTGGCAAACCCTTGAACAGCGTCGAAACATCAGTGCTGTAACCTACTTGTATAGCATCCAAAACAACATTGTTTTTGTTGACCACCAACACCTTACTCAAACAAGAAATCTGAACTACTTGATACCCTACTCAAGGACACAATATCATCAAAATTCTTTCTTTCCTAGGAGCATATACGTCTTTGGAATAGCCTTCCTCTAACTGTTCAGTCTAGCCCCAGTTTAAACATCTTTACTGAGAGGCTTTACCCATTCTATAAATTCTAAATTGCACACTATGTTTTTTAAATTAATAGTCTTGTAGTACTTTTATTCTTTTAACTTTTTAATTTGCATGTAAATAATTTCTGTTATTAACAGTTCCCTGACAACGCGCCTGCTAGTCATAATCAGAATTGATTGTTAAGCAGTATAATGTAGATGTATATGTATATTTTTAAGGGGGGCTCATTTTTCACTCCTTTTTTTTATTTTGACACATTTAAGATGAACACAGAGGTTTTTTTATCAATGTGGTCATATTTTCTTCCCAGGTCCGATACTCATGCCTGTGGTCCAAACGTAATGTATAGTGGTGTTAAACCTTTCAAAACATTTCCTACAAAGATTAAAAATTACGCATTAAAAATCAACATGGCTGCTCCCACGTTGGAACAATTTGTCTAATTTAATTTTGTGTTTAATACTGTTTTTACAACTAATTTCCATACTTAATATGTGGAAATAAAACAAAAATAATCAAGAAGTAACCCTGAGACACTCGAATAACGGTATTTTGTTTTAATGTAACTTTTTTTTATCAATTTCTCATTGCATTAACTTGATATATATTCGGATAGGTAGACTTTAGTAACGTATGAGTTTCCAAAAAATGTTATGTTTGACAGTGTTCCAATTTAGCTTTGTAAGTTTGTTTGAAAAAGGGGAAAGTGGGCGCACATGCCTTGAGTCTTGAGATACTTTTTTAAAGGGCGGGGGGAGGGGGGCATCTGTCAAACAGTCAAAGTTAGAACTACAGTCAAACGACTTTTAGTTGTTTAATATAAAATTACAAATGTAGGAAAAGTCTTATGATCGAATGGGGAAGTCTGCTGAAAAAATCGGTTGATTTTTCCATTTCGGTATTTTATGCACCACTTCCATTTTCACTCAAAGTTTATTAATCTGTTAATAGTCCAAAAAGTTGTGATTGTTCCGTATCGGAATATTATCATTCAGTTACATTGAAAATGGCGGCGCAACTAGAACTGACACTGTAAGTTTCATTGATAGATATAGAATTCTAATATGAAATTAGGCAAAGCCCATGAATGGGGAAATCGCTTAAAAAAATCATTTTTCCGTTTTAAAGACCTGTGTCATTTGGTATTTCATGCACTGCTTCCATTTTCACTCGGAATACTCGATAATTATTATTAATCAGAAAAGTTGCAATTTTTCGTAATAGGAATACTCCACCTATTATCATTGAGTACACTGAAAATGGCGGCGCCCGACTAGAACTGACACTGAAAATTTTATTGATAGGTATAGAATTCTATTTATTCTTTAATTATTTTTTATTTACACATGCAGTCTATAGCCGGGCAAGCCAATGCCCGGCACCACAAAGCTTTCCCGGCCTTTGACTTCCCCTTATAAATTCTTTAATTTTTTTAATTGATTTTCTTTTAGATATACACGTTTAGTCTAGTTGGGCAAGGCAAAGCCCGAGCCCGCTTAAAGGCCCAGACTTTGACTTCCCAGTTATACCTCTCGATTACAAGACAGACACTCAACCACGATGCTATAGGGTTGAACCAATTGCAAGCTGTTGGAAATGGCCTATACACCTGTAATCGCTACACTTCCCCCCAGTTTTTTTGAAAGGCAAATTTACACAGTCCAAAATTTTAATACAAAGGTTGAATCCTTATCACTGTCCATGAGTGAAAACCGTATGCTCTGACATGTCAAATGTAATTTACCTATAAAAATCCTCTTAGGAGACATGCTAAATGCACAGTCCCATCTTTCTGTCTGTAATTGATTGCTAGTCAATTCTTCATGCCTGCAAATGAAACGCTATAAGCAGTGTCATTAGTTTTTTACCTTGTGGCAATTATTGTAAACCTGAAAAATCCTCCATATTTTTATGGCCAATTTAGGGCTGAAAATCTGTTTCATTCGTCTTTACATCTTTGTCCGAGCTAACCCTTTGTTATATAGCAACTACATATTTAATTGCAATAAACATTCAGCTTATAAATATGTTTAGCTAATGAATTGGTCTTTAGAGCAAACTTGGTATAATTTTTCAAATGAGCAATCTCCCTCCAAGGAAGCAGACACTTCTTTTGTTTTTCAACTGTATTTTTTTAATTACATGTCTGGATGGTTTTTTTTGTGTTTTTTTCAGAAATGTCTATAAAACAAGAGAAAATGACCAAAACTAGCACCAAAAACCAGGTTTTGCACAAAAGGAAGGAAAAGCAACTGAATTTCAAAAAAGGAAATAAAGTTGATCAAAAAGCACACATAAAAAGTAAAGTAAAGAGCCCATTGCCTACAAACAATAAGTCACCTTCTAACCTTATTGGAAAAGGGGAAAATATTGGAAAACGAACAAATGAAGTGATGAATGATAAATTAAAGAAACTGAAGGATAGGAAGAAGTTTAAACGTATGAAAGCATTAAAAAAGTTAGAGAAGGCAGAGAAATTTGACAATGTTGCAAAAAATTCTAAAAGTGTTCCTGGCTTAAAGCATACAGATGAATTGAAAAAGAATGTTAAGAAACTGAAAACCAAAGATATGGACCAAAAAGGTGAAATAAAATCTAAAATAAAAACTTCTAGTGATGATAAAAAGATTTTGAGTCATGAAAAAAAGAAACTGAAACGTTTGAAATGGAAGCAAAAGCAAATGGGTTTGAAATTGGCGAGAAAAGGTTTGGTAAATACGCAACAACATAAATTGATAAAGACGGAAATTGGTGAAAAAGTTGAGCTTCCAAAGACTGCAGATGGAGCCACGGCTAACTGGAAAAAACTACAAGAAGTAAGTACTGTGCACTGCAGGGAACGTGTTACTGTATTACAAGTGCTTTTCAGTTACAGTATAGAATTTTCAAGATGGCGGATTATTTGCGCATCCATTATTTGCGGAAAGACAGGTAGATTATTTTTATTTCGGTCCATACTACAAGTACATGTAGTTTAGTAATAGTGTTGTATGGACAGAAATAAAAATCACCTTCCTGTGTACCTGCAAATACATATAATCCTCTATCTTGAAAATTCTATACAGTAACAGGAAAATGTGATACAGTAACATGTTCCCTACAGCAGTGAGCAGTGTAGTCCCACATGAAACTTTTAAGCCTAATCTTTTAAGATTTGCCTTTATTATATATTTGAACACATTCTTATTTCAAGGACAAACTACACAGACTAGCTTGACTGTATACTGCCATCATAGCCAATTCATTATCAATTCTAGAATCATAGACAATCCATATTGAAAGAATACTGTAGAAGATAAGATGTTTTTTGAAAATGGTTAGAGATTACTTATTAACCCTTTCCAAGCCAAATATCTTAAATGGACTGGTCCATTTTACAATCTGGACAAGACAGTCATTTTTACAGAAAATTCAAAGTAAATACTGACTAAAAACTGAATAGTGCAGACCATGATGAGATGTCAAGAACATGCTGGTAGATCTTGGTCTGCACTGGTTGCATGGGTATATTCAAATGGCGCTGGTAGACGAAGGGTTGAAGAACTAATTTTTAGTTTGACTATTTGAAGGATAGGACAAGCTATACCCAGGCATAAGCGTCACACTTGGTTAAGTTTTGCGTACAAGTTGACATCTTTAAAATTACTGAAGGCAGGAAGTTCCCTTGTTTAAAACATAATCCCAATTAACTTAATAAACAAGGAATCTGACATGCACCAAAGGGATGTGTTGAAACTTCATACACTTATTTGAAAGCATAATAAAAGGTCACTATCCAAGGCCTATAACTCTAAAATTGATTTGGACAGAATTATGGCCCATTTTGAACTTGGAAAATTCTACTTTATTTAGGCTCTTGTTTTACTATCTAGCACTGAGACTAGTAAAGCAGGCCGTCTTACCGATGGCTCTTGTCAGTTTTATAACTAAATACATGTATTAATAAAATAACTGATTTTGTATAAGAAATATAGATATTTTAATATTATTCTGTTAAATGAAATAGTGATATCATTCTGTTAAGATGAATGATCTATAACTGCAAAATGTTGAAAATACAACACATTTCTAGATAGATTTTACAGTTTATCCAAAATTTTCAACTGTTTATCCAAAACTTTCATTGCATTTCGTTGTTATTTGTAGAATGACCTTAGCTTGAGTTTATTTATTATTGTTAATTATATTCAGACAATGTCAGCTGGAAAGGGTGAATCAAGAAAGAGGAAAATACCAGAAAACCGTCTCCGAAATCCCAAATACCAGAAAAAAGAAGAGAAACAAGGTGAAGATGATTCAAAAGAAAAGGAAAACTCTGATGAGTAAGTGAAATGTATTGAAACTAATAACACAAAACAGGTGGTCTTTTTGTGTAGCCTCTACAGATTATCGGCGACAAATATAGATACTTAGGGGGCTATGGGAACAATGGGTTACAGTAAATTCTCGTTGATGCTATTCATTCAATAAGCTCTTATGTTGCTACTTATTCTCTTATGTGGCTAAAAGAACGAAAGAGAGAACAAAAGAATAGCCACTTAAATACATGTACCAAACTTTGAGCGTGTCTGTCCGTCTTACAAAACTTGTCCAGACTTCTTCTCAGAAACTGCTGGAGCAATTTAATCCAAACTATACAGGAATAATCAGTACCAAGTCTAGTTGTGCATATCATCGGCTTTTTATGGTTCAATGATTTTTTTCCCAGAGTTATGGACCTTTAATGGCTTTAATTTTAGAATTTGTCCAGACTACTTCTGTTATACCACTAATGCAATTTCAATAAAGCTTTACAGGATTGATCGGTAGCTCAATTTCTTGTGCATATAATTACACAGGTTTTTAGGTGGAATGATTTTTTGTCCTGTTATGGCTATCATGAGGTGACACATGATCACTTATGGCTCTTGTTTGAAACATTTAATAACTGATATTGAGTCATAATCGCAATGGAAAATAGTATCTTTTATTTCTATATATTTTGGTACAAAAATGTCTTATTTATTAAAACATTTGTGCCAAAAGTGGCTATTATTGTGAAATGATTGAACTGTTTTCATCAACAGAGAAATATAATGTTTTGTACTTGTAATTTAAGCAAACACTCCACATCTGAACCTCTAATTTTGACCAAAACATCCATCCCAAATCATAAAAAGTATGGTTGTGATTTAAGAACTTTAGAAGAGATGAATTTAGACCTTGGTATTGCTACTATTAAAACCTAATGTTTTGGTAAAAGTTGTTTGAGTCAGCAATGCTTTTTAGTTGTAAACAAAACTTATTTTAATTCTAATAGTATGTACTGTGAATCAAAATATACTTTTTTATAGGGAGACAGATATTTGGTTTGATGATGTGGATGAGATTTTACTAGATAAGAAACCTGGGTCTCTCAAACAAGCAACTGTTACCCAAGGGAGTGATGGTGAGATGAAAGAGGAAAATCCACTCATAAAACCTGGAGCATTCAAGGGGTAAGATCTTTGTTATATTTGTAAATCTTAAAGGAATAGGAAGGGATATTCTGTTGCCTGTGTTATTATATTGATATTTGTCTTTTAAAAAGGGGTATCATGAAAGTATTTCTTTTGAAATCTACTGTATAAAAGGGAAAAGCAAGTGTTTAAGACATTATTTATTTACGCAAGAGTAATTACCCGGGTGCCAGCAATTTGATGATTTTTTACTCTTGTGAGACTTGCAAGATCGAGATTATTTGCCAATAAATAGGGTGTTTGCTCTAAAGGATGTTTTTTGGAGTTTTCATATTCTAACAACATGCCAAGTTTAAAGAAATTCTATAGAGCAGTTTTAATTTTGCCTATAAGTCTATATGAATACTTGTGTAAAAACATTCTTAATTCAGTATTGAATGGCAAAGTTCACTATCTATTGATACCAGCAGAAATATTTAAGACAAAAATGTTAATTTGAGAATGACTTCATCATTGAATGGAAATTTTAAAAATTAATCTCTGACACTTATCATTACCAGATTGATATCATATACATTTATAATAGTCTACCTTCAAGGACAATTCTAATTTCAAGATGGCTCACTTATAACAGAAATTGCAAAATGTATAAAAAATTTATTGTATATAAAGAAATGTATTATATGTACTTTAAAAAAAAAATCGAGGCTTTTAGATGATAATGCGTAATTGCAGAGTGACTAAGATAGTATGTATGGATTGTGAGATGGTAGGAGTCGGAGATGGGTCTGAGAACATGCTTGCACGCGTGTCCATAGTTAACCAGTATGGTGAACCAGTTTATGATAAATTTGTAAAACCAAAAGAAGAAGTTACGGATTATAGGACATTTGTTAGTGGTGTGAGACCAGAAGATCTTAAAAATGGTAAGTTTAACCTAATTACTTGAAAATCAAACTAAAGCTCAATGTTTAATTCAATTCAATATATTTTCGGCTCATATTAAAGCAGCAATCTTCTGGACTCATGCTAATTTTCATAAAAATGTATTTAAAGTACAGTGATGTGAAGAGAACAAAGAAAATAATTTACACATACAATCCACGTAAATTACCAAAAAGAGGTCAATATATGCAAACATAGTCCTTTTGCAATAGTCATACAGTAGAAATGTAATGATGGATCAACTATATCAGTTATTAATCGTACATAACATGTAAATTACTACTTGAATCTTTAATCATTTTACTTTTCTTTAAGTCTTAGCAAATTGTTCTCAAGTTTGATTTTCTTGAAATATTTGGCTCATCTGGAGGCATGTATATTTTAAAATGCATGGTTTTAATGTGATCAGTACAGTAGAACTATGAATTGATTCAACCCTTACTGGCCTGCTGGTGGCTACATAATCTCCTCTTACAACCAGTGCTGACCCAGACTGCCCAGCACATCTGTGTCAATTGATGATGATTTACACAGTCTGCTCTTGAGTCAGTACATATTTTGGAACTTTTACCTATCATGTTGAATGGAATTGTCCAGGCACTGAATTTTCTGCCCCTTGGACATCTCTTGTTTGAAGATATAACAGTTCAGTGTTGCTGGATATGGTATATATTTTTGATCAATTTTGGATTGTTTTTCAGCCGAGAATTTCGAGCAGGTGCAAAAGGAAGTGGCTGACATTTTGAAAGGAAAAACTTTAGTAGGACATGCAATACAAAATGATTTGAAGGTTAGTTTCTTACATCAAAATGTACATTGTATGTTATTCATAATTTTACTTAGTTAGTAAATTGGCTTCACTGGCAATGAATATGAATTCTCACCTCGCAATGTGCTGGCTCAACTTTGACAGCCAATCAGAGGGTCTGTTGTTTAACCAAGGTATAAGAGGCAACCAATCAGAGGGTCTGTTGTTTAACCAAGGTATAAGACCCAGTCAGATGGTCTGTTTTTTAAGACATAATACACTAAGGGGGCACCTTGTTATGCAGAATATGGATGTTTTTAAAAGAGTATATAAATGGCAGGTTGTGTTATTAGTCAGTTTCAAAACTGAATCTCACCACATTTGTACTAAGCTGTTGTTTTTAATTTCATCACCTGGCAGTTTACTGAAGTAAGATTGTTCCAGTACTTAAGAAGACCTGATATATTAATTTAGCATTATATTTGGATTTTTTTCTTAATTTAATTTCTTATTTTTATTTCTAAATATAGGTGTTGTACTTGAAACATCCTAGAAAGCGTATAAGAGACACATCTCAATATAAACGATTCCGTCAGCTATCTGGTGGTCGTACTCCATCACTGAAGAAATTGTCAGAGAAAATTCTTGCTGTCAAAGTTCAAGAAGGAGAACATAATTCAGTAAGTGTGTTTAATCATCTATTTTGATTCATGTCAATTATTTTGTAAATGGACTAATGTGCATTGATCTCAAGGTGAACTCTGGGCTGTTTCCAGCTAATTTGGGAAAAGGCCCCTGACGTAAATTGGGAAATATTATTTGACACTTTTGAAATGTTTTAAAGTTAAAACGTTTTTAACATCTATCATATAATCAACTTTTAAGTTTGTTTTTTGAATGCTCATATAACCTGTCACCTCTTTTTTTTTAAGTTTATAAAGTCAAAACAGGGATTGTTAGAATTTTTTTTTTCTTAAATTGGGAAAAAAGAGGCTATTTTGGATTGGGAAGGGGCCTTAATTGAGCCCCTAATGATAGGGAGAATATGCCCGGTAACTATATAAATTCATGTTAAGAGACTTCAGGCAGGCCTGGCTCTATACTGCAGACAAAGGTTAATTACTCACTGTTTCTCATTTTTAACTGGACATCTCAGAAAACTATGCACTTCTTTTAAATGTGACCCAAAAAAATACAACATATAAAACTGTTTGACCACAGAACAAAATAGTATGTATATATGTTTAACACTAATTAGATATTTTAATGTATTTATTTTATCTCTTTTAATTTACAGATTCAGGATGCCCAAGCAACAATGAGGTTATATACAATGCACAGGAAACAATGGGAGAATGATATACTCAGTAAAAAGAAAGAGCACAAGAAAAAGAAGAAAGGAAATACTTGATTATTGATGAATGTTTGTGGTGACGGTTATACACAGTGATAAACAAAAATCTATTGTGATACACATGTTTTCTTATATACAGAATTTGAGAAAGCAAAGGGGGCTTAAGGAGAGAAAATTTTAAGGAGAGAAAAAAAGGGTTAAAAGAATGACAAAGTTTTATTGAAGAAGTTAGATTACATGCAATGATTTTAAAAATGTGTTGAATACAGTTTTCCCTGTGACAAATGATTATCTATGAAAAAAACAAACATTATTTTTTGACATACAAGCATCTTGGAACTAGTAACTGTTAAATGTATTACAGGTCATGTAAAAATTTACATCTGGAGAATTTTTTCATATTTGCATTCTTTTAACAATGAATGGATTATACTTGAAGATTAATTTATAATCAATAATAGAACATTTACTGTTATAAATACAAATACAGTTTATTATATAGTCGTTAATACTGAAAACAAGAGTTGTAACTCTCAGTTTTCAAACCAATGAAACTTTCCTATAACAATTATATTCCGTGAATGAAACATGGTTGTAATAGAAAAATGATTTTGACTTTCACCGGTTATTGACAATGAACGACTGTGGTTCTTGTAAGATGTTTGCATGTGGAAACTTGCCATATGGCCTACTTTAAAACTGTTCATGCCATTATACTTTGAAAAAGAATCGTTTGTTACAAGATAGATTTGTATGTTAAAGATATACATGACTTGATTATTATTCTTAAACTGAATGTTTGGTTGTTTTTTTATGCTGATTTTAAGTAATTTTTAGCTTGTCTGTTTCAAAGAAAAAAGCCAAGCCATTATGATCGCTTCGTTGTTGTGCAATATCCTTAATGTAACCCATTATTCAAACATTTTAAAAGGTATCAAAATGAAATTTAGCATACTTGCTTATCATGCTTAGGAACAGCTGTGAGACAAGGGACAAAATTCTGAGAGCATGTGTTATGCCCCTGTTTAACTTAGAATTTTTAACAGATTTGCATCAACATGGCTTGAAGTGATCTTGTTTAAATCCTAGCGGTAAGTCCACCTAACCAGCTTTCCTGGATTTCTAACCGGTAATAACCAATTTCTTCTCAAGTGACTTACCACTTATCCCAATTTCTGAATCAGCCTTGAGAGACAAATAACCATTAAACACAATGTCCGACATTGTCAGAGAAATTTTAAAGAAGTGTCACATTTAGGAATCAGGGGTGCGTTTCACTAACGTACTTGTGTTATCGTAACTTGAGTTTGATCGTAATTTTTGTGCGTAAGCAGAACTTGCATATTTATTTGCATTTCACTAAACTTTCTTAACTACGGATTTGCTTAGGTTTAAACGAAGTTGCGCTCTCTTAATACTGGCGTAAATTGCACGTTCTGTTTAGTGAAACGCAACTAACATAAATGTCCAAATTTACGTAAAAAAGATATGCAAAACTTACAAAATGTAAGTGAAACCCTTGCTAGGTTTCTTGCTCAAAGGTGATAATCAGGTTTATATGTAAAAAGTCAGGATATGTTAGTGAATATAGATATAAAGTTGTATTTTGTAGAATTTTGTTTTATATGGATATTGAAATAACTGTGCATTTATGTATGGCACACTAAGATGCTGATTCACATCCAAGATCCATATTTATCACACTTACTTTGAATACTTGTTTAGTTGTTACAGTCTACAACTGTGTTGTTCATGAACGGAAAATAAAGTAACTTGCCACAAATGTGTGCAACATTAAGAAGTCATGTAAAGCACATGACCATCTTGAATGTCAAGGCCATAGATGAATATCAAATGTCATGATATGATAAGGAAAAAATGTTGTGTCCAGTCTATTACTTCCTCAGTATGGATGGATTTGAAACAATTTTGCCACATTCAAGAGTCAAGATTTTAGCTCAAAGGTCAAGGTCACAATATGACTTCAAACAAATTACTTAAAAGTGTGTAAATTGTTGTGTCAAGTAAATAATCAATTCTGTCATTCTTTGGTGAATTTTTAAATAACTACATAAATATTAGACAACTTGAAGTGCACAACAGCCAGTTCAACAGTCCAAAGGTCAAGGTCACACTTGGATGCAAAGACTTGATATGGTCATGTCCTGTTCATATCTTTGTCATTCATTGACAGATTTTTAAATTACTTAACATAAATATGGGGTACTTTAAAATTATATGTGTGATGAGTGAGAACTACTTATCTTTAAGAACATATGGTTCATTGATAATCATATCTGTCCATCAATTTAAGTCATTCATAGATCAATATTTATACTAAGCTAGGCATAAATTTATGGCACATCAAAATGACTTGTCGCTGACAAATGTCTACAGCTAGCTAGGGCCATACATGTACTTGGATGTGAAAAGTACATTTATGGTTGTATTTGGTAATTTCTATGTCATTCATGCATGCTTTTTGAAATATTTGGGCATAGTTACTAAGAATACTAGTATAAAAAGTGGCATCTGTGGCTGAGTGATTATGGTCCTTTACATCAAACCACTTGCTCCTTCTTGGTGTGGGTTTGAATCCCAACATGGATTTTAGATTCTTTCATGTGACAAATCTATACAGCTAACTTACGGAATATCAGTGATTTTACTCAGGTGCCTGTTTGTGCCTGAAATAATTCACAGGACACCTGAGGTTTTCCTCTGCCAGTAAAGGTTATAGCTTGAAAGTCGCCATATGGTCTATACTGTGTTGGTGCGATATAAAACTGAAGAAAAGAAAACAAAGTGTTGGTTGATGTTTTCTTTACGTATGTAACACTCTTTTTATAGTAACCATGCTTTCATTATTAGTGAAGGGTCATGGTTTCAAGGGCATATCTCTTTTTCCAATTATATGTTCTTGTTAATATTTATGATACTTATATAATTTATATCCAATCTCTCAGTATGTGGAACAAAGGCCAGAATAAATAAAATCTGGTAAGTTAGAAAGAAAAATAGAGACTATGTTCAGGAAGTAGAATATTTTTATTTAATTCTTTTGTCAAGACAGATACAATCATAAAGTCATACAAACACAGTGTCATATAATACTGTTATTATATAAAAATTATTATACCTTGTTATGTAGAAAAAATAGACACATTTCAGAATCAACTGAAAAAATAAAACATTACACAATGATTATCATGTATATATATTTAAAAAAAACAGCATTAACTGAGTATTGATAGATTTAGAACAGCAAAAAAATATGTATGTAAATAAAAATAAACAAAAACAAATTATGACAGTTTGGGATATAAAATTGATTAAGATTGTCTCTAGTCTTTAAATCTTTATTTTCTAGGAAAAAATATGGATCCATAAGTAATGTTTTGATATATGTTTCGAATAAGTTAAAATTTGCTTTGAAAATTTAATTCTTTAAAAAATTAACTCATACTTTAGTTTTACAAAAAAAGTCATGGCATTTCCATATCAACTACCTTGTACATTAAAAGGGTACTCATACAATATACCGATTTCATTTTAAAATCCATATTTACTTTCGTCAGACATTTTTCTTTTGCATGTTTCATATACATTTTGTATTTATTCCGGTCTTAAAAAAGCTATATGAAAATCCATATTTGTTTAGAAACTTTTTCTAGTTCTATAGTTGACTGGCTTTGTAAAAGAAAATGAATTTCAGCAAATAATTTGTAAATTTATCTAAACAAACTAGTATAATGTCATGAAGGTGGATTGGTCAGTAATGACAAATCATGAGAAAAGTGTACAACATATCTGTATATGTAAAGCAACCCGTCTAAGGGTCGTGTGTAGCATGGATGTATACGTAAAGCTACTCCTTTCACAAAAGATGGGTTTTTAATTGTTTATTATTCCACTTGATATTTCATAGCTCTACCTCCATTTTGGAAGGGGTGGGGGGTGGGGGGCTGATATGTCCCGAAATAACTGTAAAGGATTGTTTAAATTTCATTAAAAAAATGCACATACAAAAATACACATGGATACATGTATATAAAGGGTATATGATAATAATAAAAACAAAAAATGAGAGAAATATAAATGAAACACAAATAAGTTATAAATGCAGTATTGCCAAAAAATGGATAATCACTGTATTGTAATTCATGTGTATTATAATCTAATTCTATATTTAAAATAAAAATAATGCTGATCATTTTGTAAACATGTTAAAATAAAACAACAAAAAATACATTGCAAACTGTATATGCGTAGTTTTCTAATTGAGAATTGTGAACCCTAATGAATTTGTATATATCAACCACATTTGAGTAATTTCATAATAAATCTAAGGCCACACTTAAGCAATCTTTCGACTGTTTTCATAATACCCATTTCTAGTTCATTTTTCCCTGACAAGGGTTTTGTTTTTCCTGTGAGGTTATTTTAAAAAATATCAATATGGCACCTCACTTACATGTACATCCAAATCAGGGTACACAATCCTTGTTTAATTAATTACTGGTAGTCACAAATTACGCTGTCAGTGAAAAGAATTCAACTGAAATCCTTTAATACAGTTAACATTTGCGTAAATTACTTATAAATGTAAAATTATTTAAGGATTAGTCACTATACTGACATCTGTTCTTTATTATGCCTTTAATGTATTAAACCCACAGTGAAAATTTTAATTAAAAAAGTAAGTTAACACATGTGTATTTATTTGGCAAAAATAGTAGAAAAAGCACACATTTTTTTATTTTATTTTTTTTTGACACATACCAATTACTTCTCATGTTACTCACATTACCACATCATATATGACCAAAATGACTGAACCAGCTATGTGATCATACACCAACGTAATATCAAGGTACTTTGATATAATGTCAAGGTACTTCTTTATATAATTGAGCAGCCGCAACAGCATTGATGTGGATAGTCTGGTGCGTAGATTTTCTGCTCGGAGCCATACACCCAGAAACGTGACTTAAACTCTTCCCACTCGTACTCACATTCTGTGACAGGCACACCACGTAATGTCTGACGCTGAAAAATTACCACACAAAAAATTCATTAAAAATGATCACTTTCAAAGAAAATGGATTCAGACTCTGCTCAAATGTAAAAAAAAATTGAATTTGATTTTATTAAAATAATTAGACAAAATTTTAGACACCAAGAGCTGTAAACATAAACTGCTGCTCCTTAGATATATCAGGTAAGATGATTATTAAGAAACTAATAACAAATGTACTAGAATGAAAATAAAGACTTGGTTAACTTACTTGTTTGTGTATCACCTCATTAGGCCATTTGGTTCTGTGGGTGTTGACAAGCTTGGCAGATTGTTCATTAATCTCTTTGACAGGGAAGGAAGTAATTGGCCACACCTGTAAAACAATCGTGTATGCTATATTGATCTTGATAATGAGAAAGGATAAACTAGTTTAACCCTTACATAACTAGATATGTTATATGGACTTGTCCATCTTTGGATCTGGATCAAACCATTCATCATTTTTGGGGAAATTTCATAATATGCACTATCTGAATAACAAGGAGTTCAGACCATGAGCAAAAATACTTGATGTGTCAGCTGATTTGAGTCTGCCCTGGTCACGTAAGTAAATCATAATTCTTCTGAGGTTTTTTGCCACATTATGACATATCATACTATCAACATAACTGTTTATGGTAATACTGACTTTTCATTACTGACCAAATCACTTTAAATGCATAGCAATTTTTACTTAATTACTTTGAAATATGGCAAATATCCCTATGGCAGGATAAATGTGGAATTTCTTTCTACCTCAATAATAATTTTGAACAATGATTGTGGGCATCCGTGGCCAAGTGATTAAGGTTGAAGACTTCAAACCACTTGCCTCTTGCCACTGTAGGTTTGATTTGTGGCAGCGTCTTTAAATTCTTTCTTGTGAGGAAGCTATCCAACTATCTTACAGAACATCTGTGGTTCTACTCAGGTGCCTGTTTGTGCTTTAAATAATACAAATAATACACTGAGGTCGTTTTCCACCAGTAAAGCAGTGAAATACATCTCAATATGACATATACTGTGTTGTGCTTTGTTACTGTTTAGGATTTACGTCACAGCCGACAAGAATATAGGTAATCGCGACGTTGCAGTTACTGTGAGAGTAAACACCTCATTTGCAACTCTTGCAGTAATATTTCAGGCAATCGATCACGGGATACTGATAATGAAATCACTGACGATATACTGTGTTGGTGCAGTATAGGATATAATATCTATTAAAAATTTATACGGCATAGTTAAGAGAATATAATTAACGCATTGGCATTCTGCTGAAATGTAATGATGATATACTTTGACATACTACATGCGATGAATTACTTCAATCAGGTAATCATTATCTCATAATGTAATCATCAATCATGGTATATATACTGAAATAATGAAATAACTTGAATATATATTGTGGTATATTTATACTGAAATAATGTAATGATGTGAATGAATATTGTGGTATATTTATACTGAAATAATGTAATGATGTGAATGAATATTGTGGTATATTTATACTGAAATATTGTAATGATGTGAATGAATATTGTGGTATATTTATACTGAAATATTGTAATGATGTGAATGAATATTGTGGTATATTTATACTGAAATAATGTAATGATGTGGTATATTTATACTGAAAAAATGTAATGACATGAATATACATTGTGGAATACTAATACCGAAATGATTAATTACTTCAATACATATTGTGGTATATTTATACTGAAATAATGTAATATTTTGAACACATATTGTAGTATATTAATACTGAAATAATATTATATTTTGAATACATATTGTGGAACATTAATACTGAAAAAATATAATGTTTTGAATGCATATTGTGGTATATTGATACTGAAATAATGTAATGACCTGAATACTATTAATACTGAAATAATGTAATGATGTGAATGAATATTGTGGTATATTAATACTGAAATAATGTAATGATGTGAATGAATATTCTGGTATATCTATTATACTGAAATAATGTTTTGAATAATAAATTACACATGTATGTTGACTATGATGATAAACTTACAATTTCACTTTCAGTTGGATAAAACACTTCAGTTTTCTGTATCCTTCACAGTCCTCGCATGTTACACGTCCATCACCACCGCAATCCAAACACCTGTGAAAAAGGATATCTTTTTCTAGAGATCTATCTCATCAAAGTTGTGAGTGACATAAACAGCACTGTGTGACCTCAATAAATCGCAAACTTACTAGAAATCATAATACTGAATAGGTAATTTTGAGTAAAAAAGGGGGATAAATCTATATATTGCTTTCAAGATAATGACCATTGTTTAACAAGTGCACCATGTCAACTATAATGTTCATAAAGTGTTCCAAATTTTATGTTGAAATCTTTTATATTTTTGAAGTTAAACTACTTAATATGAAATTTTGACAAAAAATCTAGGTTAAAAACTCCAGAAATTAAGCCTTTAGAATAATGCCTCTTGTCTAACTGCCTCTCGGGATGATTAGCCACCTTTAAACTGTTTGAATAATGGGCTATATTAATTATATATATTGGTATTTAAGCCATATTTAAAGTCCATTTGTTATTTTGAAGGAAAAAAAAGACCATGTATTACTCCAAGCTGACATCTATCAATATTTTAAAGTTTCATAAAAATAATTTCAGTACTTTTTGAGTTATCGCTGGATACATTTTTTGCAGACAGACGTATGGACTGACAGATAGACATACATGTACTATTATTTGGAAACTGTTCTCCCTATTGTTCTTTTATCATCAAAGAGAAAACAAAGTAATGTGAGAATGCATGACATCAAATAAAGTACTGTTACCTATTGTACAAGAACAATAGGTAATAGAAATTATTCAAATATTGTATACAAGTATAGGAACTGGTCTGAATTGGATTGAAAGGTGTAACATTCTACGTACATTCTTTGCCCATCTCCAAAGCAAAATGCACAAGCACCCTCTTCTGCCTGCCCACTACCATCACAAGAGTCACATTCAACTTTACCCCACCCATCACAGTCATCACATGTCTCCCAGCCACGCCCTTTACAATCTTTACATTTCTGGAAATGACAAAAAATTGACAATCAGTTTTTTAAAGAGTTGATAGGTGGTAAAAGAGATAGCAAGTCATTTTATTTTGGTTTTAAAGAGATGATTTTTTTTTTTAGGTTTTGGCATTCAGGATAAAGTGGAAAAAATGTTTTTTTAAGAAGTCTGATGTCCGTTTTAAAAAACAGAGGAACTTAGATTATTTAGATAAAACTACAATTTTCACACTTTGATGACTATATGAATTTACACAAACATTTTAATACTCATAAAGCATTCGAATGTTTGGAATCTTATCCGAACGTTTGAATGTTTGTTTACATCCCTTGAAAATGATAGGTAACATTTGATTGGAAAGAAATTATGACACTTGCTTTGATACAATTATAAAAGTGTTCAATAATCAGAAGAAGATAACATTTTTTTTCATAGAATAAGCATGCATCATTGTCTGATTTGTCGCACCATATATCTGTATGTTGATGATGTGATGTACAATAAATCTCATCAAATCAAGACTTTAACAAAGTTCTAGAATATATATTTTATTGCTGAAATGTCTGAATCACATAATTAACATTCACTACTTACCTTTACTTTAGCAGTATGCGGGACCTCTTTCTTAACCTTATCATCTTTAAATTCAGATTTCGGCTTGACAGAAATGTCCCATGCCTTAGGTGCTGGGCCATTGTCAGGCCCATCAACTTTTCCACCTTTGTAAGGAATCTTTTTCTTTTTGGTTGATCTGTTTTCTGAAAATGACTCCATTATATACTGAAAAAATAGATATGTATATTATTAAACTACAATATACAGTGCCCTCCAAAAGTCTGGAGACAGCCCCAAAAATACAGTGTTAATATGGACCTTGGTACATCTTTTTACACAATTTTGGTCATATGGTGCTGGAACAGGAATGATGATTTTGGATGCTTTTATATCTGAACTACATTATACAGTACTGTATCATTTCTATTAGCCTTACAGTCAAACCTGTTAGCATTAGATCCAGAGTATTGGGAAATAAAACAGCCCTAGGTTGCTTACCTTAGAACTACATGTATTGCAAGACAATTTCATAATTTAATTTCAATCATGCAAAAGTAGGTCACTAAGGTCCTATTCAAGTGAAAGTTCAATGTTACAAACAAAATTGTCTTAAGGTCAAGGTTTGAGTGCAAATGCTTACAAATTCAAAAGCATGTCACAGGATGAAATTCAACATTATTCCACAAAAAAACTTCTTATGTTACCATAGCTTGAAAAATATGAGGAGTTCATGATCATATTTACTTGGTGTTCAAGTCATGCAATTTAGCAATAACTCTCAGAATAAAATAACAAAAGTTTTTGAATCTGGAGTTGTATACAAGGGCAGGCAAAGTATTTTTGTGTCGCCTCTACGGAGTAGTGGCGACATATAGGGATCACTTCTCCGTCGTCCGTCTGTCTGTCCGAGCAAACATTTGATATTTATGAGCTTCATTCCGTAGTTATATAAAGAACAAAAACTCATAAAATTCAAATTAAGAGCTATTTTTTGTTTTTATGAGCTAAATTCAGCCCATGGACTTATGTCCAGGTGTAGTTTATGAGCTGATTTGCCTCTTAAATATCAAAAGTTGGTACGTCCGTCTGTCCGTCCGTCCATCACAAAACTTGTCCGGACTACTCCTCATAAACTACTGGTGCAATTTCATCCAAACTTTACAGGAATGATCAGTACTAAGTGTAGTTGTGCATATTGTCAGCATTTTCCGGTTCAATGATTTTTGTCAGAGTTATGGCCCTTTAATAATTTTTAATTTTAAAGTTTGTCCGGACTACTTCTCTTATACCACTAATGCAATTTCAATGAAACTTTACAGGATTGATCTGTAGCTCAAGTCCTTGTGCATGTTGCACGGGTTTTCCGGTTGAGTGATTTTTGGCCGGGTTATGGCCCTTTGATAAAAAGGTGTTTTTTCTGTGTGTTGCCAGATACACAAAAGCTTGTCCGGACTACTCCTCATAAACTACTGGTGCAATTTCATCCAAACTTTACAGGCATGATCAGTACCAAGTCTAGTTGTGCATATTGTCAGCATTTTCCGGTTCAATGATTTTTGTCAGAGTTATGGCCCTTTAATAATTTTTATTTTTAAAGTTTGTCCGGACTACTTCTCTAATTCCACTAATGCAATTTCAATGAAACTTTACAGGATTGATCTGTAGCTCAAGTCGTTACGCATATTGCACGGGTTTTCTGGTTGAATGATTTTTGGCCGAGTTATGGCCCTTTGATAAAAAGGTGTTTTTTCTGTGTGTTGCCAGATACGCAAAAGCTTGTCCGGACTACTCCTCATAAACTACTGGTGCAATTTTATCCAAACTTTACAGGAATGATCAGTACCAAGTCTAGATGTGCACTGTCCGTCTGTCTGTCCGTCTGTCACAAAATTTGTCCCAACATGAAATTGGCAATCATGAGGCGACACATGTGATTACTGATCGCTCTTGTTAATAGTGACTGATAGCAATGCTGTGTTAAAATAATCATTTATTATTTCATTATTTGATACAGTATTCAATTACATTACAGACTTTAATTGACAAACTGAAGTGCAGGCTGGTCTGATTTGTAGCCACTTGTGTAGACCTGGTTTTATCCTTCTATCATTGCCTGGGTTAAAAGGGTATATATATATATGAGCCGCATCACGACCCAACCAACATAGTGCGTTTGCGATGAGCATGGATCCAGACCAGCCTGCGCATCTGCGCAGTCTGAACATGACCCATACTGTTCGCTATCAGTTTCTCTACTTGTAATAGAGTTTGTAAGCGAACAGCATGGATCCTGGTCAGACTGCACGGATGCGCAGGCTGGTCTGGATCCATGCTGGGTGCAAACCCATTATGTTGGTTTTGTCATGACGCGGCTCATTATTAATTCTGCTTGTGTTTTGTTGTCATGCAGCTAAAAATGAAGCAAATATGTCAGCTGTTCTGAAATTATATTTCATATGCAATGTCTTTTACACTAAATTACTATCTTACATGTAGAGCAGTGACTCCCTTTGCTGACAGAATCTTGCATTCTTTGGCTGGTTTGGTACCATAGCAAAATTGATCCTTGGCAAACTTTTCAAAAGCCTTTTTGCAGTCATCTTCGGACAAATTAGGAATACTGAAGAAGAAACAACAACAGACTATATGTCATATTAAAATTTCTTTTATAAATCACATGAAATCGTCTGATCTATCTAGTAAATGTATTTATGAACCAGAAGATCATACAAGTTTGGCCCACGTTGTCACTCTGTAATATCCTATGATTAAATACAGGTCCTTGTTCCATAACGTTCCTAGCACTCTTGCCTAGTCTAACTAATACGCATTGGTAGTGAAGCGCCCATACTTCAGTGCAATACGGATGTGGTCTAAAATAATAATATCCAACATGAAGGTAAACAAAATAAAACTAAATGTCCTATACTGCACAGACAACCACTGAAGTATGTTCTTTTCTATTTCACTTTTTAATAGTTAATAAAAATAGATACTTACTCAGCAAATTTCATTTCCGGTTGGTCTCCTGTAGGACCAGATGGGCCAGAAGGAGGTTTCGCTTCCACTAAAAGAAAATAGAAACATGACTTTATAAATACATGGCATTTTCAAATTTGGCGCATTAAAAGACCGTCACGTGACTTCATCAAATGCAGTAGTTATGCCAACTACATAACATACTGACCATTTCTTTTTTTTCAACACTTTTGCATGATATCTCTAACACTCAAAACTACAGCATGATATAACTGATAACAATAGTAAAATGCTTATATTTTATAATATTAGAATATTTGAGTTTTTATTAGTTATAGCCAGTATAAACGGTTTTAACCATACGACCATAGAAACCTATCGAATATCGTTAAAACTAATTTATCATAATGCACAACTGATTTCTTTAATCAGAAAATTATATCATATTTAATTCAAAAAATTTCAGCAGCCGTGCTTTTGAAAATAGTACATGTAGTTCCATTGAAACGGTCTTCAACGTTCAGATTGTCAGATAATTACGAACGTCTATACTTACTGTCTGCATGGAAAGCGTTTCCTCCATAGCCCTCTATATCATCAAAATCGGGGTTTCCTCTTTCCTTCTTTGTTTTCTTTGGCTTTTTCTCTTTCTTGCCTTTCGGTGGTTTATCTCCCCTTTTCTCTCTTTCCTCATCAGCACCGGCCTTCCATTCTAAAATTATACAGGTATGTATGCAAAGTGGAACGAGAATACTAAAAAAATATTTTTACCAATTAAATCTCAGGGAACTGTCCTAGAAGTCGGATCAATCCCTTCGAGAAAATATGTACAACGATGTACATATACGAACGGGAAGTTTTGTTACCATAGACATGAAACCGTCCGAGGGACCCGGGTTCGATTCCCAGACGATACAGGTCACTTTCGTTGTGATTGATCATGAAATCCTTTCTACGTTATTTGCACTGTACCTCTGCTCTGGCATGTATGGAAGTTATCAATTTCTTGCGAAAGTGAAGGGAACTAGTACTGGTAAATTGCTTGGCATCCTGCCCAAGAACGATGCCGTGATGGTTGAACTGTGCTCTGGTGAATTCAAAGTGACTTACTACCGTGACCCGGAGGGTAAAACTACCAACACCTATATACACCGCTTAAGAAATGAGATATGATCATGGACGCCCCTATGATACCATAAATGTACCATCTGCTTACATTCATTTCCAACACATTTCGGCTAGAACCCTTTCAAAACGTTTAAAAACGACGAACGTGCATTTTCTATGTACGTGTTTTTCTAATTAATGATTAAAACAGAATCATCACAATCTTAATTTTATACATCTACTCGTATATCAAGTATGCGCGTTTTCTTGTCATTGTTTGTCTGATACGCCCGCGCAGGACAAGTGACTGTCAACAAAATATTTCTTAAAATAGCATTAACCTATAGAGTAGGTTTATATCACTTAATAAAATCTATATACCTATTGAAAAATATACTAGATCAAGTGTTTGGGAACACGTATGAGCTATATCGGTAACACGTTTCGAATTACAAATCTACAGAAACTATGAACATGCAGACTGTGCACACAGCTTATTTCTAGTTCAATGTCGCGGTAAAAAAAGAAATTATATATGCCTTTAAATGCGGACAATACCTTCCTTTGATGCAAAACCTAAAAAGCATTTCAATTACTCTGCGATTAATTCATTATATGGGAAGTATCTTACCTATAAATGTCGAACACTCGATCGTTCGATTTTCGGTAATTCAAATGTTGACGTTAATATTGTTAAGAATAATTTCTCCAAAAATAATAATGTCTCTCCAGCAGAACATCTGCATATTGTACGGAATTATGCCCCTTTTAAGTACATGTATGTATATATTTACGTAGTTGTCCTTTTTTTCAGATTTCATATGAAATAACAGCGTTCTAATATAAAATTTCACATTTCATGTCCATTAGTGTCACGGTTAAAACAAATAAGAAAAGTACCAAGTGCACGGGAACATCTTAAATTGAAGACAGGCCCCACTTGACAGTTAGGTCCCACTTGACAGTTAGCCCCGTAATGTGTATTTTTTTTCGTTCAAAAAGAAATAATTTATTCAAAAATGTGCAAAAACACCAATACATGGGACACCGGTTTAGGGTGAAGCACTTAAACAAACAGGGTATTTGACCAAAGGTTTGCGCCCTACTAGAACTTTGTCTATACCTAATTTCAGAAACACTGTGACTTTAGACAGATAAAATTTCAATTTCGTATGTTTAAAATTTACAGGATACAACAACTTTTATTTTGCTACTAGCTGCTACGTTGGCATAAAAATATTGAAACTGAAAAAAACTAGTTGCAAACAATTCACAACCGTATGTAGCAAAGAAAGTTGAAGTTCCCGTTGACGTCGGTGCATGTGACATACTTCAATTTGTGTGAATTCGGTGAATCATTAATGATTACTTTTATGTGTATTGTTTAAGCTGTTCAGGTACTTTTATCTTTCCATGACCGATTAAAATACAATCAACCTATCAATATTTTAGAAAATATAAATAACGCACTTTAGCGGTGGTTATGGAGACATCAAACAAAATAATAAATTAGTCGATAATACAGATTACCAGATAAAGGTATACGACCATTACATTCCATAGAACGCAGTGATTTAGTAATGGACTGTCATTTAATAGTTGACAGTGACATAAATTAGATTTAGAGCTTTATTTAATGTATTGGTTATTAAACATATCATAAGCTGAATATGCTTTTGTGATGTCATAATCAGAACGATGAAATTACCATGCTGAAGATACCCATGGATATGTGACCTTATGCCAATGGGCCGATTATGTAAATGGTTCGAGATCATTGTCATTATTTTGAATGTTTTTATTAATTCAATTAATTGCTTTGAACCACTGCACCGTGGTAACTGGCATTATATCGTTAAATAAAACGTGAAATCTCTTACATCTTTCCAAACTAGTCGAAGAATTGAATATCTCGCATTAATTATAAATATGATACTCTCACACATATAATCCTTGTAAAAACGTTTATTAGAAAGTACAGGGCCTTGTGGATTTGGTCGCTGACAATTTGTATACTGCTATGGTTTCGAACACCGCCATGTGAGGAAGCTATTTAGACAGCTTACGGGAGGTAGGTGGCCGTGCTTCTGAACCACCTCGTGTCTGAAATAATGCACATGAGATCTTCCTCCACACTTAAAGCTGGGAAGTTGCCATATGACTGACCCATACAAGATATTAGAGACATATGACATACGTTCGTGTTGTTCTTGAACATTTTGCCACTTAATGCATTTTTAAATAACAAATATCACTATCGCGATCTTTGTGTGGGTAAGACTTTCCGTGCAATAGTGTTGACATTAAAAATGGCAGGAAGGTATGAACCCGTTTCTTGGTAATTTGTCCCTGTCTGTTTACTAGAAGGCACAGGCATGCAAGCGGTTTTTATTTAAGTAAAAATGGAAAATGACTACATTTCGTCAAGATTAAGTTCAAGTCATAAGAATTATAAATTTTATTAGTTCTTGATTTCAGATTGTTTTGTGATATTGTGAGCTGCTTATCCTTAAAGTATAATAAAGCCCCGAACATTTGCTCGGACGCTAGGACAGACATAACACATGTATATTATTTACGCGATTATTATCACTATGGCTGTCAGAATCTATTAAAACGAAACGAAATAAAAAAAATGATATACTTACGTCCAGGTTCCTCGTCCGGATCGAATTCACCTGGAAAACAAAAAAATATATATATAATAATTGTTTAACTAAACAAAAATATGTAAAAATGTGTTCTTTTTCTAATATAATTATAGTGAAAATGAGGTTTCATAAATATGTAATGTACATGTACCTGAATATTTTCAACGGTCATTTCAGACACAGGCCCTGGTCAGTACATGTATAGTTAATATATTAACAGAACTAATTTATCCCAGCATTTATCTTCCTACTCTTGCAGAATTTATCAGTGTCAGATGTCCGACACCTTAGCTATTATCCATCGTGATTCCACCCCAAAAAACCTACCTTACATATTCCAGTTGTTGATGACATTATAAATATAAGGTATATCATTTTCAAAGACATGCAACAGATGAGCGCATGTAAATATTTAACAGGAACTGCACTATGGATTGATTGATTGATTGATTGATTTGTTTTGATTTGAATTGTGATTTGATTTGTGATTGATTTGAATCGATTGATTGATTGATTTTCTTTATGCCTTCATCTTCCAAGCAATTGTTCATATATATTGATGAAAAAGATATTTCAGTCCATGAACATTTAACAAGTTTAAGTCTATTATAAACTCTCTATGTAAACAAAGTATGAATCTTTATATTTAAACTTCATCGGCTATGTCTATATACTTAATAAAACTTGATGATTTACAACACTAAATACATTGTAATATATAACTCAAAATCTTCAATAAAGTGCCGGTGCCTGTTTGGAATGTGGACCGAGGCATACCTGTATTACATTTGTCACGTGCATATAATCAATACAGACCACCTCTTTTTGTAAGCCACAGTCGCTGAACGTGACAAATCTTGTCCTCAACCAAACATTGCGTCTTCCTTTAAACCTCCACCCCAACCCCCAGGTAAAAAGCGGTCTTTGATATAAAACTTTCATTTAGTTTAACAAAGCGAAAGAGCAATTAGTATTTGTATTGCGATTTTTATTTGTTTGGGTCGTCAGACCAAACAAATAATGGTAACGAAATTTCAGAGCCTAATGCTGTTAATTGCAAATGCCTAAAGTAGTCCACTTTTTTGAAGCGGTTACTTCCCTTTATATGTACACTAACGCCGAAAAATTCAGGGGAGATCAATGCGTAAAGATTGTCAAATGACAGGCGCAATAATTTTCAAGCAAAGTAGTTCCCGAATGGTCGAAGATTTTTAATATTGTTTCATTCTTTATAGATATACATGCTTACAGTAAGCTCCATGATTATTTACATCTGTGTTTAGCGTCGAAATAACAAGTTACAAACCCTAATTTAGAATAATATGGTTTTCTTCAGGACGTAAATTATAACTTCACCGTGACCGAGGGGTTTGCACGCTCGCTTATGAATTGAGAGGTCTCGAGTTCGAATCCCAGTAGAGAGCAACTCTTTTTTTCTCATTTTTTAAGTCAAATAAACATTGAATTGACTATCAGTGTTGTAATTAGTCTTATAGCCAATTTACTTCAGTTAAAACACTGGAAAGCTTTGGTGGCACTATACAAAAACAAATTGGTTTATAATCTCACAACCTTCACCTTTCTGACATTCTGAGACCCAAACAAATTCAGCGCCTTCTGTGCTTTGATTCATACACGCATTCACTCGTTATTTACTGAACTACCAAACACAATGACTGATTTTTTAACAGTTTCTGATAACACATTACGATAACAGGAATTTGTGTTTTACAGTACTGATAATATGGCTTATTTTTTAAGTCAATACTATAAAACATACAATATGGCAAATATCGAGCGCAGAATTTACTGATATGCTGTTGCTAAGGACTCACTCGCCATTACATTAATTATTCAATATTGTGCAGGAATTACCCTTACAGTGACCTTTGTTCACAACGTATGGCCATTTTAATGGACAGTAGTTAAATTACAATCAATACAAATTTAAATTCGACCCGCCAATATCAAGTCATATTGATTAAGCAATGGTCAATCATTCTGTAAAAATTAAACTCGTGCAAGAAGTGTTATAAGACTTGCATTCTTATTGTCTTAAATATAGCATTCTTCCTAGCTTAATTGATATAAAAAATAAACACTCACCAGGGGCAGACATAGTCCTTTTTAGTAAAATAGAAATCGAGTATTTTTAAAAAAAGAAAAACACACAAGTTCCGTATCAAGACTTTAAATTGTTTTAAAACAGCCTTTTTTTCTTCAAAGTTAATATCCGTCCCGTATCCGTCCAAATATTTACTTAGATACCACGTACTATCTAAACGTGGTTAAGGAACACATCAATGTAATAAAGTCCGAACAATTGTCGTAATCGAACACTATTTTTATTGTATGGTTAAATAAAGGACGATCTATCTATACAAAAGTATCAAATGATCGGAAAACAAATTAATGAAGAAATCTATACAATATTGGGATGTCATTCGGAGTCCGGATATCCGAACGTTCGGATAACGATTCGGTGTCCGGAGCCGATTTTCTGATCCGGATGTTCGTATAAAATATTTAAGAATATTGAGAAAATGTGATAAATACATGCGTTGAGATAATCGTAGACATGGTGTTGACACCATATTGTATATTGTACCTTAGTTTGACAATACACATCTTAATCTCTGCAGACCACAAAAAATCAATAATTACTATAATAATAACGAGTCAATTATGACACATGTTGTTAGTCAAATTTAAGTTTTGTAAGATTCAAGATGGATATTCTAAGTCCCGTGCGACTGTCATCGGCAACGATGTTACATTTTTTTATGTCCAAATTTAAATATTTAATTAGGTTATTATTTTTATATATATTTCGGCTTACCGACCCGTCGACTCCTTATTTTGAGACAATGAAAAATCCGCAGAAATAAAATAATCAAATAAAGAAATGCACTTACGAATAATATGTTAATTATCACAGCTTTATTGAAATTGATACGAAAATTATCCGACAAAATAACTTTCTCCTTTAGTAGTAATCAAACATGTGCATTTTTTTAAAAACCATTTTTTTCACATTTCTTAATTCACTTACGAACACTTAAAATGTGTGTAATTCATGTAAGTTTCGGCACTTTCTTTGATGATTCGAATCAAACAGCCAGGGCTACATGATGGTAAACATCAAAGATTGGCAGATTCTTTTGAAAAGCCGGCTACACGCGTGTCAAAGGTCATCGTGTGTAAATTGTATGCGTGTTGTTGAACAATTGAAACATTATGTTTAATTTTTACGCACAAATGTGAGCGAATTTTATTGCGTATTATAGCGCTAATTGAGGAATTCAGACAATCGGCGGCGAATTTCGTTTTCATTTCATTTGAAATCGTAAGTACCACACGCACTAAATTTATTGATAACAGCTAGTCGTATTCTATATAGAAGAAATAAAATCAATAACGGAAGATTTTTGATATGTATCATTCAATTAAAAAGGAAGAAAAACGAAATACTACACTTTGAAAAAGGTCGCGAAAAAATGGTTACGTCATATCAGACATCTAAGAATATAACAACGATCCGAACATCCGGATGTATCCGGATGTTTGATTCGGATATCCGGATGGCCGTTTCGGCTCCAGATGACATCCCTAAATTATTACAATACCTCAAATGGCATTTAAACTTCAATGAGTAATTTAAGATATCGCGCTCTCGTCCCCTGCTTTCAGTAATTATTATATTAACCTGTTAATAAAAGTGGTACTAAAAAGATTTCAAAGTATGTCTTTTTGTAACGATTTCAAATTACAGACAGCTATTTCGATTTTTCTGCGTAACAATGTTATAAATACTCGTAAACACGTTTTGTAAATATTTACTTAGGGCATATCAATTTTAACAATGCATAAAAATAATTTTACAAATGATATCGATTGACGACGTAAATATAACCATTACACCAGCGAATTATCCGGTCCATTTATGGGACAGGGAGCAACAGTGTGCCCAAGGGCGGTAACTTTGATAATAGCATGTGTTTCTTTCTTACAACATTTACCTCCCGTCCTACGGGGTACAAATTCTTCACTGATTACACCATGGCTTAGTTAAATTTCCACCACATTGGCTTCCCAACTTATCTATGAAGGCATGACTGGTGTGCAAAGGTTTCACAGTACTCGAAATGGACTCATATACGATCAAGTCAGCGAATTTACAAACGAAAGAACGTACACATTCGGAACACCATAACGATCATTTTATAATCATCTCGGAGATAATACGGACTGCAAATAGTTCTATCACATGATCTGTTAAGATGTAAAGCAAAAACTGATATCAAACGGGAAATAAATTCTATTTCGGTAAACGCCTGACAATCAGAATTAATTTAGAAAAGCCCATTGACATACAATATAGCTCAATCCTAAATATCATCAAGTTAACGTCAACTCCTAAATGTTCATACTTCTTATCCGAAGATTGACGGAAACGGCCGAAAAATTACGATTGAAACGAACGGACAAGGAATGATCGAACAGGAAACGCTAAAATAAAACAATAACCCAAATACTATCATAATGTACATGTCAACTCTTAGCTTGAAGTGGTCTACTTTAGGCGATTTTCACATTAAGATTGGGAAAATACGGTGTCATATACCGTATAATATCGTGCCTTTATTATCCTGTGACGTGTCACAAATTTTAAGTTCTTTCCAATTATAAACCACCAGTACAGCCATATTTAAGTCAGTTTCTAGTCTGTTTCTATAGTCTGTATATTGTAAAATAAGTTATTAAGCCCAGCTAGTCTTCGCCGCAGTTCACATTCCTTGATCTATAAACCTTACAACGTTTCTTATTTGGAGTGAAATCAAGACAAGAGTCCTAATTTTCCTCTGTATATGTATGTCCATCCAATTAATGCGGGTATGACATGGAACCTAAATTATCCAACAACATACAGAAGAAAACATCTTGAAAAGCGGCGATCCCTTGGAAGCAATGAAAATAACAATATATTAACATGAAAATTGCAGGCTCGTTTTGATTGAGTCTGTTCTGAAAGATTATGACTGAGCCGCGCCATAACAAAACCAACATAATGGGTTTGCGACCAGAATGGATCCAGACAAGCCTGCGCATCCGCGCAGTCTGATCAGGATCCATGCTGTTCGCTATCAGTTTCTCTACTTGTCATATAGTTTGTAAGCGAACAGCATGGATCCTGATCAGACTGCGCGGATGCGCAGGCTGGTCTGGATCCATGCTGGTCGCAGACGCATTATGTTGGTTTTGTCGTGACAAGGCTCAATTGTAAAGCTTCCCCTAAGCACCGATTTCAGATTTATCTGCTGCATTCAAAAGATCTAAATTTTTAAGGACCTGAAATTATTACAACACTCGAGTGAAGTGGAGAAACCTTCTTGGAGAGACAAAACATATGGTAGAGAGGATGAAAAAACTGCTATAAACTTGTTTTAGTTTTCTTGACCATTGATCACAGAAGCCTATACAGTAGTGTTAAACTTGAGGGATTTATAGTAAAGACTATCATGTTTACAGTTAAATTGGCAGTCTTCTATTGGTCATTACTGGATCTATTGACCCATAAAACGACAGGACTCGTCTGTTCAGATGAACATATTTTTTCTCCATAAATGCTAAACATAAACCGACTGCTGTTATCGTTACTCAACTTCCGTAGACCTGTTTGGCATCATCTCGGTCATTTCCGTCAAGCTTCGGATTGATGCTAGCCGAGATCTTCCGCTTGATTGTATGTTGTTAATTTACAGTTGCCGGCGACAAAAGCTGTTTTTCCGGCTTTCGGTTGGACGTTATGACCACCTTCCCCCCGCCCCCAAACACACACACGAAGGATGAGCCACCAAACACGTTTATAACATGTATAACTGTTTTTGTTTGTTTGTTTGTTTGTTTCAAGCTTGGGAGTTACTTTTTTCCCCTTCATTAATGTTTTCTGATTTTAAAAACATTTAATGATAGATGCGCCACTGTTATTTTAACTTAATTACTGTTATAATATTTACTGTTACATTTATAATACTTGCATAATCTGTTAAGAATACTTCAGCTGTTAAACATATAATTAGAAAGAACTTTTTCCTTTTACTGTTAAACATGATATAATTAGAAAGAACGACAGTGTTTATCATGAACATATTCTTTATAGATAATATAATACATGCATGTTCTATCAATATACACATACAAATCACTTACAATCACTTCCGGTCATCGTATATTCCAGCTCAGCACGCGAGTTATAAAATTATCGTCTGCCTTTCAACACACAAATAAACGAAACAATGTTTGAAAATCTCAATATCATGAAAAATAACACACATTTAACACCCAGTCATCCACATCTTCAGTGTAGCGTATATAATATGCGTCTTCGCTTAACTTGAAAGGTAATTAGATCTAACTATCTCAACACGTATGTCCAGGTTTATCTCCCTTGTGGTAACAGAGCGTTCAATTTAGATCGATATCGAACACGTTCATTTATGTTTATAAACATAAATCCATTAAACAAACTGATGAAACATTTTCTTTCACAATGTACTTGAAACCTGTATAGTGACTACCATTTAAATATATATATATCTATAGATTTTTAAACGAATATTTTAGTTCATGTTGATTTAGTAGAATGTTGAAAAGTGTAATTTTACCCTTAAGTTCGTCGGTCAGATTGAGTGTCATTTACTTTAGGCATTTTTAATTCACTGTTGCGCTTTGAAAGAGTCAACAATATTTTACCTATAATGTTTCATGATCTTGACGGATGACAGTTTATTTTTCATAGATTTACATCAATTAACTTAAGTACTGTGTACTTAAAATATACATGTATGTGTGTTTCATTTCCATTTAAAGACAATTACACTTTTTAAGCGGTTTCTTCTTAGAACTCCTCCTTGTATATATGCATAATTGTAGTAATTTATTCCGATATTGTCAGATTACGTAACTAGTAAAGGCGTAGATTACCAAAATAATTCAAATTACGTACAAGCTGCAAACAGGAATTGATAGTTCATGTCCTAGACCTTCCGTGCCGAATTTTTTGCGAACCGTTTTGTCAAAGCCCCATGGAAACATAAGCTTATTATTTGAGTTTAAAAAATCCCGGTTGTTATTTATTGCATATACATGTATATTTTATTAAAGCGCGCAAATGTAGATGAAATTTTTTTGATACGAAGTCATACTACATGTATATTGTGAGCAGCAGTTAAAGTTTTAATGGTCGTTAAACATTTCCGTTTTTCCACGCACAGTTGATGAATAAGCGTTGGAACGTAACTCAGAAAATGGCCAGTGGAAGCGATTGAAACAGTATTTTTATTAGCATATAATATTTATTTTATTCTTTATTATAGTCTCATCAATGTGATACAGTATATACAACATATCATATATAAAATGCATTATTAAAAAGAAGACACATTGTCACTCTCTACAGAGTTATAAGAGACTTTGTATATGTTAATATCATAATTACAAGTAAAATCGTTATAATTACACCATTGAAATGGAGAATTAAAATTCACATATTATAGTACAAATACAATATTTTCATCTATATATGGGACATTCATGATTGAATATAGTATGCCTTAGTCATGCTCTGGATATGTTTAAGTAAAAACATGGATATATAGGATGTAATTTATTGTATGATGTGAGAATTTGTATATACAGGACATGACTAGGTATACGTACATGTTTATAGGGAAGGTGACCAAATTTAAACAAGGAAGTATAGGATATTTCAAGTAGGGACATAAATGTATATGATCTGATCAAGTACATATTTGTAAGGGACATAATCATGTAGGAATATGAGTATAAAGAATGTTACAAGTAAGAAGCCGGTATCAAGTACATGTTTGTAAGTAACCTGGTCATGTATAACAAGTAAGAACATAGATGTTTAGGACGTGACTAAGAATATGTTTGTAAAAGACATGGCAATGTAAGAACATAGAATATTACAAGAACATAGAAGTATAGGACGTGACCAAATACATGTTTGTATGGGATATGACCATGTAAAAGAATAAGAATGTAAAGTATATACAAAGTAGGAACATAGATCTACATGACATGACCGCAAAAATAACTGTAAGGAATGTGACTAGGTAAGAAAATGAATGTATAGGATATGGTTAATGAATAACATGAATGTTTCGGGGTATATTGGTATTATCAGATATTATTGGGTTATTGGCTTAAAAATAGTATGATGAAAATTATGTAAACGTGAGACTTGTATGATGCTTGTATGAGTGTTTTGAGACGAAGATGAGTCGCTTCATCGTGCAAGGATAAGGGGGTAAACAACACGAACGGATGCGAACGTCAAAATTGTTTTCGACGCCATTGAGTAGACACCGCCGTGTAACAATACGGGTTCTCTCTGAATTTCTCTGGAGGCTTCAGCTACGGTAGGGCCTTGCAGGAGACTTGAAAGAGACATGTATAACTGTGTAAGGTAGGTTCCGAGGGTCCTGACAATTAAATGTATTCACGTTGGGCGTTATTTGCAAAGGATTGACTTTGTGATTTTTTTTTTGTACGACGCTGCTCGCTGGCCAGTATATATCATGCATTTATCATTCGTTTATTAAACAGCAGGTTTATGGACACCAAACTTAATATGTTATGTTTTAATACTGAACACGTATTCGTTCATATGTATAGCTAGTAAGCCTACTTTGGTTCAGGTTGTTGCAATTTCCCTAAAAAAAAACAAGTTATAAATGCAGTGAAATACTTTTGAAACACCCCTCGTAGTGCTATTGCATAGATCTATCCTGAACCTTTGTCTGATAAAATCTTGAATAATTTCTTTAAACTTTTAAAAATTTAACACCGGGTTTATCATATAGGTGGGTGTTTATTGTTTGGTTTTATTAACCTGTCAAATACATACTGATTACACGGTCGATGCACACAGTATATTAATCTTCGGTAGATTTTCGGTAAGTTCCGTGAGATGTACGCTGTACGATGGAATTTAATTTAATTTGTATCTATAAACTAAGTGCACTCAGCGTTATAGCGCAATAGGGTAAAGCACGAGTTTTTAATCTAACTGCCACACGTGTTTTTAAGTTCGAGACCGCGTTGGTCCATGTTTTTTTTCTTATTAATACTTTCAACATTATTGAAGCTATATATATGATTACTTTATATTGTTTGTTTTGTTTTATTATGTTTTACTTAATTTTGTTATGTCTATACTCATTTAAATAACATGTTTAAGAATTCATGTTAAAAAATTAAAACGGATTAAAATCAATAAATGTATTTTCAATGCCGTAAAACACACTACAAATATGTTCCCTTAAAATATACTGCAAAAATAAAGAAAGAGTATTAGTGGCAACACTAAGGATCGAACCACAGACCTCTCAATTATCAGGCATTCTCTTTACCGACTGTGCTATCATGAATTAACGAAAACATTTACATTAAGCTGGTGTGACTTTCAATCCATGACTTACATACTCCACATTAATTCTCGTAAACTACACGGACCAAACCGAAGTGGGATCGAATATTTAAATGAGTCCTGTAATGTATTCATAATTGACAGGTCAATAAAATCAAACTATATACCATCGAAAAGTTGTCATAATTTGTTTTAAAGTAAACGAAGCGTGGTATGCATGAGCTATGTTATCATTAAACTGGGGTATATAAACGGGTTAACCTTTAGGGATTTTTTGCTTTTATTGTGAGAAAATATATCAAAGCTTTGATATTCCTTACTAACTTAGTAATGGTTTATTTGCCTATATATTTAAAGCCTACAAACATTTGAAAATTAAAACAAACATAACATTTTCCGTTTTTGCTAAAAATTAGTGGTGTTTGACCGTTAATTACGGCATCCATAAGGATGAAACGTTATGATATCACCGGATGAAGTGATGCGAGAACTTGTCAACTTTACCGATAACATTAGACATGTTTAAACGATAGGATATTCTTTCAGCGTGTGAATCTAAGCTGTTAACATCATGAATATATTTCTCGGAGGATTTTATATATTGTGTATATTTTGTGCACTATTATTTTTTTACACAAGATCTAAGACTAAGGCCGTCACAGATGCCGGATTTCAACAATTTCAAAGAACCTATTTGGTTGTTTATCTTTTAGCCATGGGTAATATTAATAAACAAACTCGTTGAACTGTTTATTTATAACTTTTTAGCGTTAATTCTATTAATGTCTTGAAGTTTATAACTCCTGAATTAGGAAATAGTTAAGGCCTATTTATATATGAATTTGACATTTGTGTGATTATTTGCAATTCTTTTTTTTTTACAAAGAACAATATGGCAAAAATTCCATTAGTGTCAAATTACCTTTAAATTAGAATTATGCAAAAAAAAAAAAAATTTAACTTCAAGTATGTTATACAGTATTTTCTTATGAATGACATCAATACATTAATAATTATAATTGAGGATATACATCTACATGTTACTCCCGAACAATCAATTCTGACTATGACTGGGAGGCGGTTATATACTTAAATATTTATAGTTGAACAGAAATAAAGTTAAAACATGGCATGTATTTGTTAAAAAAATATCTTTGTAAGTTGTATAATATAGATGCTTCATTCCTTATCATGTCTTGTTCTTATTTGTAAAATATGGTAATATGCTTAACTTAAGATTATCCTTTTATGAATATAAATTTGCATAATTTTATCATTAGTGTAATTATTTTGATTTTATTGTAGTACAACTGTTTCTTATTTCCTTACATTTAAATAAATGCATGTTGAAATTTAACATACAGTTGGAAGTTTGGTTGTGAAGCAGTTACATGTACTTGGTTTAAACATATTTATTAAAGCTCGATTGCGAAACAAGTTCTTGCAACTTACATTAATTGCTTTCGAGTCTGCTTCCTGGAACCAACCAGTTCTGGTGTTATATGAAGAAACATGGTCGTGACCCAGGGTTCGAACTCATGATCCCTGGTTTGAGAGGCAGACACCTTAACCACGAGGCCACCGCTATCACTCAATGTGCACAACTGGTGTCTTTATTGGAATTGATTCTTTTATGCTGCCTTGTAAATCAGAAACTTAGTAAAGACATACAAATTTTCTTGATGTAATGAATCCATAACTGAAAAGCCACAATGTCAGTGAAAGGTTCTTTAAAATCCTTCAATATTATGCTCAGGAAGTACACACTTCTATCTTATTCCTAAGTTAAAAAATAAGTATCAGCAACAAAAATTCACTGAGCCCATGTCTACAATAGTTTACAACTATTCAGTCCGCAACATCTCTTGCAATATCTCTCTTAAACTTGAACATTGCATTATCATTTATGATATTTTATTGATAATTGCAGCTGGAGATTGGTTACAAGGTCCCCATGTGTATGCCCTGTATGCTAGCTATGGCATGAGTACTCATCAGATTGAGGTGTTGTTTGTGGCTGGCTTTGGCTCCAGTATGATTGTGGGTACAGTTGTTGGGTCATTTGCTGATAAATAGTAAGTGCTTTATTGTTTTTGTTATAATGCGATTTTGTTAAACTTAAACATTATTATTTCAGCTTGGTTGTAATTTTTGTAAGCTAGCTAGAGTCTGCTTCCTTGAATCAACCATTACTGGTGTCATATGAGGAAACATGGTTTTGAACAAAGTAGGTCTTGCAGCAGCACCCATGTTACCTGGGTCAAGAGACAGCTACCTTGACATGTTTAATATGCTTACATGAGCATATCTTCCACATTTTACGGTTCATTAATTTTTGTGAGAGTTGTGGCCCTTTAATGATTTTAATTTTTAAAGTGTATCTGGACTACTTTTCTTATACTTCTAATGCAATTTGAATGAAATGTTACAGGAGTGATAAGTACCTCAAGTACTTGCACATATTTAATGGGTTTTTTGGTGGAATGATTTTTAATGTTAAATTTGAATTTGAAAATTAACTTTACCACACTGTAATGACTGTATCCTTTTTTATCAACCAATCATTGACCAGAAATATTAATGTAAATAGTTAGGTGAGAACTTTAACTTCTAAAGACACTTTATGATTTTTGTGAGTACTATAAATCATCAAATTTCATTAGACAAATACTGTACTAACTAAAACCTTTATGCATATATGTATGAATAACCTTTAGCAATTTATTAAATAAATATTTTCATAAAAAGAAAGCAGTACTACAATGGTCATCACTCTATTTTATTTTTAACCCAACAAGTCAATCATATTCCAGTACTTGCATTAGTTTACTATAATACCAAAAAAATCCAGCACTTTTATACGAACATACATTGTCTTGGAAGGGCGTCTGTGGCTGAGGGGTTAAGGTCATTGACTTCAAACCACTTGCATGTGACCACTGTAGATTCGAGCCGTGCTAGCATCTTCAGATTTTTACATGTAGTGAGAAAGTTATCCAGCTAGCATACAGAGCATCGGTGGTTCTACTCAGATGCCCGTTTGTGCCTGAAATAGTGCACAGAGGGGCTTTTTAGGGCTTCCACCACCAATAAAGCTGGAAAGACACCATATGACCTACATTGTATATGACCTATATTGTATAGGTGTGATGTTGCAAAGTTTTAAGTTCTGACTTATGTTTTGGTTAATAGTCTTATGAGACAATAATACATCTGTTATCTCACTAGTATAAATAAACCAGGAGATGACAGCTGTTAACTATTAACAGCTTGTGTAATGAGTCTTCTTTGAAGTATTACTTTATATTAATTGAATCAATATTATTATATATAAAAATAAAGATCACATCATGTCACTTACAGATGATCTTTTTTTCATTTTCATCGATATTTCATTTTTCTCATAATTAATGTTTCTGTCTGAATTTTATAATGTTAAATGTTGGTGGTACATGTTGTTTTTAGTGATTTATATATCACCTCAGCTCTACAAAGCTTGTTGGTGTTACTCTTTTGTCATATAATTAATAGTCAATATACAATAATGTAAAAGAAAAACACTTGATAATGATGAACTTGATAGATAAATCATAAAATAACTTATTAATAACAGCTGTTATAGATTCAGCATCTCTTTTAATCTGTTATTTACATGATAATCTCTCTATTGTATGTATATTAATTAAGAATCTTTATCTTTGCAACAGTTGTTATTGACCATAGAGAGTAAGGATTAAATGTTAGCTTTTCTTGACAGATTTATGTTTCGCATTAATATGCGTTACAATTGAGATCAAATTTAATATGCAGTGCACAAAAATGTTCATAATTTGTCTGTCTGTGGTCACCAGGAAAAACCCTTAATGCCTTTTTTGTTTAATGGAGCAAAGGTCAAGGTCAAAGAGACTCTTTATTTGTATTGGTTTTTGATTTACAATAATTGTGCAAGGCATTTTGCTTACTTGCTAATGATTGTGAGAATACCTGTTTAGTTTGATGTACAGGTCAAAGGTCAAAGTGATAATAACATTGACAGATAAAGTAGTTCCTGCTCAATGATTGTAGACTATATGAAAGTGTTGAACAGCTACAATGTACATGTAGGTGTATTAACATGTATGTACATATTTAAGGGTAATAGGTAACCATGGTATTTTAGGTTTAGATAAATTGAAATACCTTAAATACAGCCAAAATTAGAATAAAGATTAATGTTACAATACCATGTACATGAAGTTAGAATATATCAGTAATGACAGCAAAGTCTGTCTACCTTAAAATGTTTCATTTAGGAAACTTGTTGTTTATTGGTTGATAGGTTGTCAAATCTAGGTTATAGTTGTAAAGTCAAACCTAGGTTATGGTTATGATGTCAAATTTCTTTTTGAAATGCTGTGAGTTTGATTCCTGAAAGATTAAATGTTTGAGTACATGTACATGTATACAGCTTCCTTGCAGAAATTCAGAGTTTTCTTCCCTAGCAAAGCAAAATTTCTCCATTATCATATTTTGAGTATGTTGCTGTCATACAAAAAACAGTTTGATGAATGTAATTAAGTTCCGGTACATAAAATAATATGGCTGGTTAATTTACCCCACTTAATGAAACTACATTTTTATGTAGAACTGATTTCCATAGCTTATCTATGTATTGTTTTTTTATCATATTACACTGGCCATCTTTCAACTTGTAGTCAAATTTATCAGTTTCTTATCAAGATACTGTATTCAAGGTCTCAGAAATCTTCACATTTTAGCCATGTTGATTGTTGAGAGATATGGTTAAATATTTTCTTGAATGAGAGGTGTGAGGTTAAACAAGTTGAAGTACAACCTTTATACTGAAGTGAACTTGAAGTTTTCATATTATTCATAGGTTAAGAATGGGGGGGATGAGTCCCAGGAAACTATTTGCTGTGGTTGGTGGAACGGGATTTTATACAATTGCATGATGCATTGCATGTAAAAGGCCCTTTTGTAAAGTGTTACATCTGTACATGTTAGACAATGCATTTTACACAAGTTCAAACTTATACTTGTAACTTACTTTGTCGATGAATGTTATCCAGAACTTGGGAAATGTGGGTTTTCTCTAAGCTAATCTCCTGGTACGAAAAAGCGTCTACCATTAAAGCTTCACAGTGCACTACTATATGAATTATATTAATCGACCTGTTGCACTAACAGTACCTTTTTAAATTTGTTTGTACCCTGAATTAGCTTGGGGGAAACCAAGAGTAAGTCTATTGAAATTAATATTTTCCTCACTTCAAATTTAAACATTTTAAATAGATTTCTACCAAATTTTCACAAAATGAGTCCATGACTATCATCATGTGCCCTATTGTTATGAACCACTTATATAAATGATTTTGTGTATGATCATATTTGGTAGAATTATTCCTCTCTTTTTTTTCCTATTCACATACGTGTATACATGGTAATATATTAAATATTTGCAGAAAACCTAGTTTTCAATTTGTCAGAATATTTCGTGGCTTTCGTTTTACACATCATAGCAAATCTTCTTCATTATTGACTATTTTATATGTAATATTAATATTTTTTAGTGGAAGAAGAAACAATTGTATTCTGTATGGAATCTTATATGGAGCAGCATGTATAACCAAGGTAAGTTTGTTTGGTAATTACATGTAACATAGGCTGTTTTAACATTGACTTTTATTGTAATAGACAACTCGTTCTACATTGTTTCTTAGCAGATTTAACAATGTTAACCCTTAACCTTCTGAATTTCTTGAATGTACTTCTCCATCTTTCAGACTGGACAAAGCCATTCATCATTTTAAGGAAAAAATTTTGAAATACAAAATACAATGTATGAATTGGCTACAAAGTGAACAATGCAGACCATGATCAGATAGTACAGATGTGCCATGAGATGTTGGTCTGCATTGTACTGGTCACATGAGTAGAATCTGTTGGCACCAAGCAAGCTTAGAGTTAAGGTTTTTTGTTCATTTAATGTGGCTGTGAGGTAAACGATAAGTTGATCAATGTTAAGTTTTTAACCATGATTGGATGGTTTAGTGAAATTCCACTGTAGTGATTTTGCAGCAGATTTATTAATAGTTTGGCATTTAGGCTTCAACATTAACAAAGTACAGGTTATTTGCTATGTCAAATTGTTCATATTGAAATATACATGTACTATTGTTGGTTTTATTCAATTATCTATTTATACTTCAGCATTTCAACAATTTTTGGATACTGATGTTGGGAAGACTACTGGGTGGAACAGCAACATCTATTTTATACAGCGCTTTTGAATCTTGGCTGGTCTATGAGCACAATAAGGTAAAAATATATTACAATATATTATATTACATCAAGTTGAATCATAGACAAAGTTTATTGAAGTTATGTAATAATGAAAGCTCCGAGATTAATGATTTCCAAACCTTTTTCGTGTCAGCTTTACAGGTTTACAAATTCATAAAGACCCCAGTTGTGCTCAAACATAACATGCATTAATTGAGATGCAGAAATCTTTTAACAGTGTGGTTACCTCTGTTGATGTCAATGTTGTTATTTTTTTGTTACATTAAATTCTTACTCAGTTTAAATATGTGATAGTGTTGTAGATTTGGCGCGACATCATTTTCTGTTACTTTTGCACAAAATATTTGTTTATGTTATTAACGTAATGTCACTTCCTGTATGGGTTAACATTCAGTATCAATAAAGGAAATAACTTGTTCGCTTAGGATCACCTTCTCAGTCAGGAGTGTCTCAAATGTTTGGATTTTGATCAGTTTATTATGCTCTACAGTCTGGTGAGATTGCATTGATATGCAGGATGACCTGGCTCTTACTCTCAACTAATTTCACTATAATGTTGAGATTTTGTGCTGCTTTATATATGGGTAATTTTTCCCAAATATAAAAAATATAATAAAAAGATAGAAAATATCTCTGAATCTAGCTGTTGATTTCATAATAGTTTTACTAATATGACTCTTTATGATGGCAATATCATGGCATAAGCAAGTCACTATCTTTGTTAGCATTTCAGGGGTTTTACTTGGTAATATATTAGTCATGTGACCAATATATGCTTTAAATTAATTTGATTTATATAACATAGTTTGATATAAGGTTTTATTGTAATCTTTGCAATAAATCTTTTATCTTTAAAGGTGGATATATCTTTAATACCAAATTATAACTCATGATTTTACATCTAAAAAAAGTTTTTAAATGTTGATATAGAAGTCTAGAATTTACTGTATATGTGTAGTAATATTTGAATAATAAATTTAAGTGTTGTATAATTATGAGGTAAAATATTTCTGTCAAGGAAATTTTGAATTAAATGAACATTTGTGTTCAGATTGCATCTGTTTGACATTAGGCTCTGGGCATTTATTTGACAAGCGTTGTGAAAATGCATGATGAACATGTTTTGTGCTCATAAATATAACTTAATATGACCTAAGAGTCCAAGATTTAAGTCAGTTTACACAAAATATATTGAAATTAAGCCTGAGGCTGCTAGATATTGATTTACAGATATTTTCAAATAGACAGATTTCAATTATTGTAAAAAAAAACCCATGTACTACATGTCTAAAATTTATGTTTTTAGTTATAAAAGGTCATTTGTTGAGGTATTATATGTGCTAAAATTGACATATAGTTGAATATAATTAGAAAAAACAACATACATGTACATGTATTTTGACTGAATCAGGGTTTTTTGCAATACAAGTGGTTAACATTCTGCTTTGAGTTACATCTGTTGGTCCATATAAAGGCAAACTTTTTAGCTCACCTGAGCATGCTCAGGGTGAGCTTTTAGGATCGATGATTGTCTGTCGTCCGTCGTCCGTTCACATTTAGTTGTTAACACTCTAGCGGTCGCATTTTTGCCTCAATCATCATCAAACTTGGTCAGGATGCTTATCTAGTCGATAGCTCGGATGAGTTCGAACATGGGTCATCTCGGATGAAAAAGTAGGTCACCGGAGCTAAAAATAGAAAAACCTTGTTAACACTCTAGCGGTCACATTTTTGCATCAATCATCATCAAACTTGGTCAGGATGCTTATCTAGTTGATAGCTCGGATGAGTTCGAACATGGGTCATCTCGGATGAAAAAGTAGGTCATCGGAGCTAAAAATAGAAAAACCTTGTTAACACTCTAGCGGTCACATTTTTGCATCAATCATCATCAAACTTGGTCAAGATGCTTGTCTAGGTAATAGCTCGGATGAGTATGAACATGGGTCATCTCGGATGAAAAAGTAGGTCACCGGAGCTAAAAATAGAAAAACCTTGTTAACACTCTAGCGGTCACATTTTTGCATCTATCATCATTAAACTTGGTCAAGATGCTTGTCTAGGTGATAGCTCGGATGAGTTCGAACATGGGTCATCTCGGATGAAAAAGTAGGTCACCGGAGCAAAAAATAGAAAAACCTTGTTAACACTCTAGCGGTCACATTTTTGCATCAGTCATCATCAAACTTGGTCAAGATGCTTGTCTAGGTGAAAGCTCGGATGAGATTGAACATGGGTCATCTCGGACGAAAAAGTAGGTCACCGGAGCTAAAAATAGAAAAACCATGTTAACACTCTAGAGGTCACAATTTTGCCTCAATCATCATCAAACTTGGTCAGGATGTTTGTCTAGGTGATAGCTCGGATGAGTTTGAACATGGGTCATCTCGGATGAAAAAGTAGGTCACCGGAGCTAAAAATAGAAAAACCTTGTTAACACTCTAGCGGTCACATTTTTGCATCAATCATCATCAAACTTGATCAAGATGCTTGTCTAGGTGATAGCTCGGATGAGTTTGAACATGGGTCATCTCGGATGAAAAACAAGGTCACAGGAGCAAAAATAGAAGACCTTGTTAACACTCTAGTGGTCACAATTTTGACTCAATTGTCATCAAACTTGGTCAGGAAACTTGTCTAAGTCATTGCTGGGAATAAATCGAACATGGGTCATCTCAGATGAAAAACTAGGTCACAGGAGCTAAAAATAGAAAAATCTTGTTAACACTCTAGTGGCTACTGTTGTGATCCAAATATTCTGTTAATTGGTCTGAAAGTTTGTTTTGATGATTTCTAAGTCAAGATCGAACATGGGTCATCTTGGATGAAAAACTAGGTCACACCGCCCAAATATGGGAAAACCTTGTTTACATTCTAGTGGTCACATTTTCGACTCAATTATCATCAAACTTGGTCAGGATGCTTGTCTAGGTAATTGCTTGGATGAGTTCGAAATTGCATGTGAAACTAGGTCACCGGAGCTAAAAATAGAAAAATCTTGTTAACACTCTAGTTGCTACTGTTTTGATCCAAGTATCCTGGAAATTGGTCTGAAAGTTTGTTTTGATGATTTCTAGGTCAAGTTTGAATATGTGTCACCTGGGTTAAATAACTAGGTCGCACTGCTCAAATATGGATAATCCTTGTTAACATTGTAGTGGTCACATTTTTGACTCACCTGTCATGAGACTTGGTCAGAATGCTTGTCTAGGTCATTGCTGGGAATAAATCGAACTGCTGGGAATAAATCAAATTGCTGGGAATAAATCGAACATGGGTCATCTCGGATGAAAAACTAGGTCACAGGAGCTAAAAATAGAAAAATCTTGTTAACACTCTAGTGGCTACTAGCGGCGTCGTTCGCGAGCAGCATCGGCAATTGTTTGGATGAGTTTGATAAGTCAGGTGAGCGATCTAGGGCCATCATGGCCCTCTTGTTTTGTAGGTTCTTACAGCATTGTTCCCTTGTTTCACCAAATATATAAAGGATATTTTCTATAATAACAGGATTTGTTTTTATTCAGTAGTATGAAAATTAGTATTTAATGAGAGGCAGTACTGTAGCCTCAAATAAAATATGATAATTTTCATACCACAAAATGAAAAAATCCTGTATTTATAGGGGAAAAAAACTTGAATTTTATGTTCAACTCCCCCTTAAATTTCATGTATTGGCTGTAATCTGGCAAGACATCATGGAATTTAATTAAAATATGTTCCTCTGAGTGTAAAATAGAATCGACGAAAATACGGAAAAAGAAAAATTACCTTTTACTGTATCAATATATCATTTATAAGTATATAGTAAACATAATTTCCCAACAATTAAGACCTAATGTTTCAATGCAAATTAATATATAAACATGTATAATTGACCTATATTTCAGAGAGGTTATGATTCTGAACTTCTTGGTAATGTCTTCAGTCATGCCATTCTAGGAAACTCGTTGGTTGCCATCACAGCTGGTATAGTAGCCCAGTATTTTGCTGATATGTTTGGATTTGTGTAAGTTTTTTTTAATTAATTTTTGTCAGATTCAATTATACTGGCGTGGGATAACAAGGGTGATAAGTCTTATTGAGTATGACTTACTTTGCTAACTTATAATGACTTACTTTACTAACTTATAATATTTTTTCCACGAAAGTCAACAACATAAATGCAGGTTAACAATTGGGAAGAAAAAAAAGATAATTATGTTCTGGCATTGGGAATGCCACAGTTTACCTTTAGTTACAAGGGAAGAATAAAGCCTGTGTACACTTAAGAGTTTAACAATTAATAATTAATACTGAAACTTCAAAAAATTTATTGCAAGCAGCAAAATACCATTTTTTAGCAAGTTTATCCCATTATAACAAATACAAGATATTTAAAGCAATATTGAGATGTTTTAGTGTCTTTTATGTTTTCTACTGTTTATGACAATATTTAACAAAATGTGTATAGAGGGGAAAAATCATAGTATTCATGAATAGTTTTTTATTTTTCATAGTTTTATGGTTGATCTACCATGAAGTCATTCATGTTAAACAAGCTTAGGAAAATGAAATTTAGTGCATACAAGAACGTAGTTTAAAAAGTATAGATCAGTGACGAGAACTTGACATTTTTATATCTCTCAAATTTTTAATTGTTTAAGATTGCCAATTGAGACAACTAATCAGAATGTTAAGGGCTTTTTTTCAGCTGTTTCGGAAAAATACTCCTAGCTTAAATTGGAAAATAAAATGTGGCATCGTGGGAAATTAAAGAAATTGTTGACAAAAGTTGACATGGCTTTTGAAAGATTTATTTATTGGTATGGTCATAATTATGACCTGTTCTTTCTGGAAATAAAAGAGTCAAACCAGATTTTATCAGATCTTAGTGCTCGTCATTTTTTTAAGCCAATCACCTACGAGGATTTTTCAAATTTTCAGGTTACAAATCTTAATAGAACAGATTTTATATAAACTGGACGTTTTATATTATAAAACGCAAGTGGGCGGAGCACTAAGCCGGTTAGAGTGCATATTGGATGTTCTTCGTAAATAAGAAAGCTACAGTCGCTTCGCAAGCTCCGCTCCTTTTTAGCTTTCTTATTTACGAAGAACACCCAATATGCACTCTAACCTATACTTAGTTTATTTTGCAATTGTGAATTTTATTAATAATATTTTTTTAATGAGAAAAAAAAGTGTTATTTTGGTTTGGGAATTGGACAATACGCAAGATTTGACGTTCCGACAGTTGGTCAAAATTTAGGAAAAAATGTTAAAGAAAATGAAAATTTTAACGCTTCCTGCAGAGAGGAGACTAAGCGTATTATTTCCACATGGCATCTATACTAAACAACATTAAGATGATACAGATATTATCAGCCTTATTAAAATGCACGGCTATTTTTATACTTTTGTGTATAATTGTAAAGTTTGAATAAAATATGATTTTTGACCTACATACATGTATTATTAAAATGGCATTATGCCAGTCTAAGAGTATTTGGTGAGTGAATAGCTGAAAGTCAGAATGAGTTTATATTGTGCCATAATCTTTTACAATTTTATAATTAACTTTACATGAACAATAAATAACTCACATGGCCCAAGGAAATTTCTATAAATATTATTATAAAACAAGTGGGGCACTCTTTTTAGACAGATTGATATTTTATCATAAACATTTTCAATATCAACTGTTGGTCAATGACCATTTTAACAGCCAAACTTTTGAAATATAGTATCAATTCAGCTCAACTTGATAATGAAAAAATGAGTAAAATGTTGCTTTGTGTTAAATTAAGAACTTGTAACATAGAAGATTTTATATCTATATGTTGATGGTTCTTAATTTAGTTCATTATTTTTATAATGTTTAGTTTTATTTACCTCTCTTGATATAAGTGGCAGTCATTTCTGGGGTCAATATTGTACATACCGGTAATATAATTGACAAAATAGGAGAAAAAAAAAACAATAAAAAAGCTGATTTACGTGAATTTCTTATTCTTGTTTACATATGCAGCAAGATATTATTATAGCACCAATATGTTAAAGAATTTTATCAGTTTTCTTGAAGATGATTGAATTATGAGAGATTTTTATCTTATCTTAAGCATATGACATATTGGGAATGATCAAAAAAAAAATGGCAACTAGGGGAGGTAATAATTGCTTTGGAAAAGCATCTATCCAGTTTTGTATTTGAATGTGAGATGTCAGTCATGGTCTTTTTATATGCTTTTACTTAAAACCTGTAAGTTTGAGTGTGAAAAAGTGTATAAAATTAATAAGATATGTTATGAAATGTTTCAGGGCACCATTTGATGTATCACTGACTATTTTGATGTTGATGTGTGGTATTGTGATATACACCTGGCCAGAAAACTATGGTGATCAAAGTATAAATGTTGCCAAATCCATGCAGAATGCTGTCCAAGCTATAAAATCAGGTACATAAATTAACTTGTACATACTCACAAACATAGCGATTTATCATATCAAAACTTGTTAATTTTTAGAGTATTTTTGAATGTGAACATATTTTATAACAAGGCATTGCTTGTTTTTAATGACATTAACCAATTTATATTGCTTCATACATGTAATAAATAAGTTTAATATGAAAATGGCCTGTGAAATGGTGGTGTTTTGCAGGGAGTTGGGTGATGTGTTTTCACTTTCTGGCATTATCATGTGTTAAAAAAGAATCTTATAATCATTGTTTTCTTCATATAGACACACTTTGTACTAGAAATCTGATAAAGCTCATTTTATAAGATTTTCACAGACTATTTTAATATATGTCTTAATGATTTAACAGAACTTGTTTAAGGTCCTGTATCTTGATTGTGACACATTTAAATAAATAAAGTCAGTAACAATCTTTATTATTTTCTTAGATAAAATGTGTTTTATTCAATTTTTCTTAAAGATTTACCTCCCTTTCCACATTTTTTTATTCATTTGTCTTTTTTGTGATATAAATATTAAGACTTATTAAGTTGTTCTCGTTTATATTTGTAGATTATAAGGTGCTATGTCTTGGCCTGATCCAGTCTCTGTTTGAAGGTTCTATGTACGTCTTTGTATTAGAGTGGACACCTGCTTTGACCCCACCTGCCCCGCAATATAAAACACGTGACTTGGATTCGGAGGATAGTGCACCCACCATACCTCATGGTCATATATTTGCAGGTTTTATGGTAAATATGGTCATATGTTTACAGGTTTTATGGTAAATATGGTCATATATTGTGTGTTTTATGGTCATATATGTAGAGGTTTTATGGTAAATATGGTCATATATTTGCAGGTTTTATGGTAAATATGGTCATATATTTACAGGGGTTTTGTTTATGGTAAATATGGTCATATATTGTGGGTTTTATGGTCATAAATGTACAGGTTTTATGGTAAATATGGTCATATATTTACAGGTTTTATGGTAAATATGGTCATATATTTATATGGTCATATATTTGCAAGTTTTATGGTAAATATCAGCTGAATGATATTTTTACAGCTTAATCATACTTTGAAAAATTCACTTAAAATTGTTACATAGAATAAAAACATTACAAAATAATGGTGGCTTTTATTGCCCTATTTTTTCAGCAAAGAGATAAGCATCGTTTATATGTATCAAGCAATTAATTTTTGTGTTTTCCAGGTCTCAATAATGATAGGATCGTCACTTTTTAAATTATTAATGAAATATACAACACCAGAGTCTTTTATGAGGTAAGTTTACATCCTTGTTTTTATTCTATGCCAGCTTACCATTGCAGTCTGATGAGATTGTAAACTGTTGGATGGTTAATTTAAGAATTTTATATCAAAATTACTTGCATGAAATAAGAACAGACTCAAAAGCAAAATAAGATCAGTCCATAATCAATTTTGCAGGGTATGACATTATTAACAAACATTGTTTTGCAAGTATAGTAAAAACAAGTTGAAATGGTCAAAGGGAGACAACTATATTAAATTTATATGACTGAACGCCTACATATTAAATATATATGATTTTTTTTTAGAAAACCTAAAAATAATTGTTTTGTAGATGTTATGTATACAACAGAATGAAAGCCTGTATGCAGATTATGCAGATACATATGTATTGTTTCATTATATTATTTCAGACCTGTGTTATTTGTAGCTGCTTTAACATTAGCCACGCCTATTTTATTTGCTGGTGTAAGTATAAATTATACAACATTGATAAACAGGGGCTTTGTTTGATTTTGAAGCCACAGTGCTAGAAGCTTTTGAATTCTTTAAAACAGCATGCTTTAAGTGAAAGCATCACAGTGACGTAATTCTTTTATATGTTAACATATTTGATTTGCTCATGTTTTTGTAAATTATACAAACTGAGTGTTATTGTAAATAAAATTAAATTGAAATTGAGAATAGGTAAATAGGTAACACATTGCAAACGGCAACTACATTCGATACAAATTAACAAAAAGAGGTCAAATACCCCTTACTGCGTTAGTCACACGGTAGAAATATTTATATATATTTTATTTTTACAGAACCAGCTTGTCATTTTCATAGCATTCCTAGTGTTTGAAGTATGTGTAGGTATGTTCTGGCCATCCATGAGTACCATGAGGGGGAAATATGTCCCTGAAGAAAGTAAGTTTTTTATGTCATTAAAGTATATAAAGCTATATATTTACTGTCTGTAGATTGTAGAATCATGGTTTTTAGGTTTTTATTGTGATTAAAATGATTACAAAATACCTAGAATGAAAGATACTTGTGTGTATACTCATTCTATATATTATTTATTGAAAGTGAGTGGGTCATGCTTAAAATTATTACCAAACCTACTAAATTAAAAGCGGAATATTTTGTTTCGGGACATTTTAGTCTGTTTACATATATTGAATAATTGTAGAGATTTTATGTTACAAATTTTTCAACAAACATTAGGTTATGAAAACAACATGATTTTAGTATTTTTTAATCTTTATAAAATATTTTATCAGATATAGCTTTATACATTTTAAGATATTCATATACCTTTTCTTACATTACTTTTAAGATATTGAATATTTGAAATACTAATAACATGTTCTGCTTGAATATTTGGTAATAGAATACATAGTAGAATATAATGGATTTTATATAGGTGTTATTTTTTTGTATTCCTTTGAATGTATTGTATGAATTAGAAGACAATTATATAAATATAAATTATTGCATTCAGCAAAATTAAATTTTCACACAAAAGCATTATTAGAGACTTCTTTCTTTTGTTGCATGCCATGTTGCATTACAGAAGTAACATCCCCACCCCACACACACTAAAAAACAAAAGAAAAAAACGCCCCACACTCTTAAAAAAAAACAACTTTTCATTAAAGTGGCAAATTTTAATAATTTGAATGAATTACCATTATAAAGAATACATTTTATGTTTATTTCAGCACGTGCAACTGTGATGAACTTCTTTAGAATTCCATTAAACTTCATTGTCGTGCTCATCCTTCTACAGGTAAGATTTATATTCACTATGTTTTTTTAAAAAGTTAGTCTGTCATCGCTGTATGTATATTGTTTTGATCAATTGAATATGTCATACCAATGTATACAATGCTTATAATGTGTAAATTCAGTGAGTTTAAGTTGATTTTCTAATATAGTAGCCTTGTACTTTAAGTTAGTATTAAATACATACACTTACGAATTGTAAATATGATAATAAATTGAGTGCTTCTGGTAAATTTTAGAAATTTATGGAAAGTATAGCTTAAGAATACTGAATTATAGTTTCAAATGCAAAAAGAAAAGTTACTAAAGCCTTGTCTTAGAAATTAGCTATAAATTCTTCATAGTGTTTCATCTAGTTGATACAGAAAATGTGGAACTCAACAAATTAATAATGCAGTGCTGTATTTTAGAATATAAAATTTAAAGACATATTCTAGTGCTGTACATTGTATATTTTAGAATCTAGAATTGTCAGTCCTGCTCCCACAATGTATTACTTTTATGTTACAATTGTTTATGGCAGTTACATATCAGACATTGTGCTTTTGTTATTTCAGAATCTCGATATGGCAGTCATATTTCAGACATTGTATTTTTATGCCCCTGCCATGTAATGGCTGGGGCATATAGTGTTACCCTGTTCCGTCATTCCGTCCTTCCGTCATTCTGTCGTCATTAGTTTCCATTCATTATCTTAAGAACGGTTGCACACATTCAACTCGAATTTGACATATGGATATGTCATGAGAAAATACAGGTCAAGTTTGAATTTGGTCATGGTTCGATGATTTTTGGCAGAGTTATGCCCCTTTTACTTTGAAAATAATATGAAATTGTCAGTTTCCGTTCATTATCTCCCCAACGGTACAACACATTCAACTCAAACTTGACATATGGATATGTCATGAGAAAATACAGGTCAAGTTCGAATTTGGTCATGGTTCGATGATTTTTGGCAGAGTTATGCCCCTTTTACTTTGAAAATAATATGAAATTTCAGTTTCCGTTCATTATCTCCCCAACGGTACAACACATTCAACTCAAATTTGACATATGGATATGTCATGAGAAAATACAGGTCAAGTTCGAATTTGGTCATGGTTCGATGATTTTTGGCAGAGTTATGCCCCTTTTACTTTGAAAATAATATGAAATTTCAGTTTCCGTTCATTATCTCCCCAATGGTACAACACATTCAACTCAAATTTGACATATGGATATGTCATGAGTGAGAAAATACAGGTCAAGTTCGAATTTGGTCATGGTTCGATGATTTTTGGCAAGTTATGCCCCTTTTACTTTGAAAATGATATGAAATTTCAGTTTCCATTCATTATCTCCCCAACGGTACAACACATTCAACTCAAACTTGACATATGGATGCATCAAAGAAATGCGCAGGTCAAGTTCAAATTTGGTCATGGTTCAATGATTTTTGGCAGAGTTATGCCCCTTTCACTTTGAAAGTAATATGAAATTTTCAGTTTCCGTTTATTATCTCCCCAATGGTACAACACATTCAACTCAAATTTGACATATGGGTATGTTTTTGGAATGCCCAGGCCAAGTTCGAATTTGGTGATGGTTCAATGATTTTTGGCAGAGTAATGCCCCTTTCACTTTGAAAATAATATGAAATTTACAGTTTCTGTTCGTTATCTACCCAACAGTGTTACATATTCAACTTAAATTTGACATATGGATATGTCAAAGGAATGGGCAGGTCAAGTTGGAATTTGGTCATGGTTTGATGATTTTTGGCAGGGTTATGCCCCTTTCACTTTGAAAATAATATAGATACATCTTAGGAATAAGCACTTTAAGTTTGAATTTGGTCATGGTTCAATGATTTTAGACAAACTTATCTTACCTGAATGTTGGAAATATTTTGAACTTTCAGTTTCAGCACTCATACTTTTAGCCATTTTTTTGGCTACAAATATGCAATATGCTATTTTTAAAAGGTTAAGACTGAATAATTTCAGTGCCTTGAACATTGTATGAAAATGGTTTGTGTTAACATTGAAAAGTTTTAAGGGCTTTGAACTTAAAATGAAAAAAATAATTAATGCACCATCTGAAATTTTGGCTGCATGCGGGGGCATCCGTGGCATGATGACACATTTCTAGTTGTTAATATGGCAGTCATATATCAGACATTGTATTTTGTTATTTCAGAATCTCGATATGGCAGACATATATCAGACATTGTATTTTGTTATTTCAGAATCTCGATATGGCAGTCATATTTCAAACATTGTATTTTGTTATTTCAGAATCTCGGTATGGCAGATATGTTTCAGACATTGTGTTTTGTTATTTCAGAATCTTGATATGGCAGTCATATTTCAAACATTGTATTTTGTTATTTCAGAATCTCGGTATGGCAGATATGTTTCAGACATTGTGTTTTGTTATTTCAGAATCTTGATATGGCAGTCATATTTCAGACATTGTATTTTGTTATTTCAGAATCTCGATATGGCAGACATATATCAGACATTGTATTTTGTTATTTCAGAATCTCGATATGGCAGTCATATTTCAAACATTGTATTTTGTTATTTCAGAATCTCGGTATGGCAGATATGTTTCAGACATTGTATTTTGTTATTTCGGAATCTTGATATGGCAGTCATATTTCAAACATTGTATTTTGTTATTTCAGAATCTTGATATGGCAGTCATATTTCAAACATTGTATTTTGTTATTTCAGAATCTCGGTATGGCAGATTTGTTTCAGACATTGTGTTTTGTTATTTCAGAATCTCGATATGGCAGTCATATTTCAGACATTGTATTTTGTTATTTCAGAATCTCGATATGGCAGATATATTTCAGACATTGTATTTTGTTATTTCAGAATCTTGATATGGCAGTCATATTTCAATGCTGTGTAGCGTTCCTATTGTTGGCAACAGTATTCCAGCATTGGCTTTACCAGTAAGTGTTAATAAATATCTTAGACATTGCTATTGTAATGTTTGTCTTGAATGTTCTTATTGTACAGTATGGAATATTTGCATCCCTGTATGTTAAGCTAGTAATGTATTTATAGATTTATGCACTTTATACATGTATATGTATCATACTTATTAGTATACATGATTTAATTACACATTTGCAAGCTAGAAACTAATCATGGTCTTACAATTTATGGTTTGTCACATGTTTGTGGGATTCATAATACTTGGAGCTTTTAAAAAGTTTTGTTTTTTGATTGTTTTACTATAATTTAGCAGCCTGAAATTAAAGAAATTTGGAGGCTATATATATAATGAGGTTGATTCAACCATAAAGGTGAGATATAAGGGGTTGTCTGTAGATGAAAGGACCCTCCTAACCTTTAGAGGGTTGATTTGTTTAATTTAAGGTAATTCCATCCATCTGAAGCTTGAATTTATGAGTAAACTTCAGACATCAGGAGCTTAAAAGAATAAGGTTGCTGAATTTGAATTGAATGCACCTTAAAGCTCTTAAATTTGAATCTAACAAAATACATCAGCTTTATAAAGGTTGGTGGTAATTCTCTAGTGGAAATTCTTGCCTGAAATAATGCACAAAGAGGCCCCTGATGTCTTCATTGGAAAGTCACCATTTGGTCTTTACAAGGTTGATGCATTTAACTAAAAACCCAGCAAAAAAATAAATTAAAAATTTGCAAACAAGTTTATTTTCTTGTCAGCCTGATGTATTTCATTGCCTATTTGATTATCATTAAAGCGGCCTTCAGTTTTTATTAGAAAAACAATTCTGTATTGTTCAAACTTAGTATTTCACTAATTGTATCGTGGAAAAGTGCATTATATCACTGTTAGGTCAACTTAAAAACAGCAGAGTGTTATTTATAGGGCGCCAGTGATGGTTGTTTTTTTTTTGATAGATAAAAATAGATCGGAAAACAAATCAATGGCTCTACTAATTTACATTTACAGAGGAGACTGGTACATTAAAGGTATCAAGAGGTTTCCTTATTGTTTATGTATTTTATCAGCGGCAAATTTCATTTTCCACCTTAATTCTTTTGATAAGACAATTATATGGAAAGATTTATCTAAAAATAACATATTTAACCCTTAGAATAGCTGAAGGCCTCTTTAAAGTCAGAATGTGGTGAAATATACGAAGTTTTCGCTAGCTAATGATGGATGATTTACCTGAACCCTGTAAATATGTTATCCAGTAAAATTCTTTGGCTTTTAATTTCCCTCTTCTGAATAATTTCTTTAAACATAGCTACATATTGTAGATAGTTTATGCTTTAACAAGTAGTTTTATCTGTTTTTTCCAAGCAATTTTATAGATTTTGGCAAAAAAGAGTTATAAATATATATCTTAGAATAAAGGTGTTGTTATTTTCAGGTGCCTTAAATTTTTTTTAAACTTAAATTTTTATTTCTTAAGAACATTCTGATTTTAGTGTAGATTTATGATAAAAAAAGTTAAAAAGGCTTGACCTGGTTTTGATTTAATTTTGATTGAAGAAACTCTGTGCTTTGAATGAGCAATGAAATGTTATGACAACCATATTATTTGTAAAACAAAAATTGAAAATAGTTTATTATCAGTGGAATTTTTTTTTTCCTAGAATTACTTAGAAGTATTGAATAACTTTTTGTCATGTTTCTGTAGCCAAGTTTTGAGTTGATCTTGTTGGTCACACTCAATTTAGAAAATAAAAGTGAAATGTGTATGGTAAGTATGAAGGTTGGTGCATTATGCTCAAAGCTGCATATGAAGAGAGGTTAATTATGAATGTGTCTGTTTTTCATTTTGCTATGACCCAATGTTTTGATTTTTATCCTAAGGTTGCATTAAACTTACCACCAGGGTCATAGCTATATAACAATTTTCTCAGGTTTTTGATTGGTTAGAAACAATAAATTTGAAAAAGTAATATTATAATGATGCTGTCATGACCTTATAAAAAGTTTAAAAAAAAGCATTACCAGTTAGGTTTAGTCTTTTGTAGAAAATTATGGGGGGAAAAGTCCACATAATTACAGTTTAATGTTAACTTAAAAATCATGCACGTATATTTTACTTATGTTATAAAACTGCATGTTTGTAACATGGCTTTTCATTGAATATATATACCATATTCACAGCTGTACACAATTTATGCAGTACACATAATTCCTTTTTTTCTCAATGAATGAAGTTTGTGTTACATGTATTGTAATTTCATTATAAAGATTCTTGACAGGTTATATGGCTGTATATAAACAATTGTTTTGCAATATAACCCTTGCCTAGTGGCTTTGTTATAAATTCACACAGCAATTTATATAGGGCCATATAACCTGTCAAAAATCTTCACAACTAATATTATAAATGTTAAAGGCATGATACATGCATATGCTGTGTTAAGTATTTTCATGGCATTTTGTAATTTACTGCATAGAAAATCATTTACGTAGAATTTACTGTTTCTTAAAAGAAAGATGAGGCAAAAGTTATTATCTCACTATTTTGTGTTTGCCAGCTATCAACATATTGGCCCTTTCCTGGTAAGATATATATATAATATATAAAAAGGCGTTAATAATTTAAATAAATATCAGTATTGTATGTGTATGCCTGGAAGGAAAAGAGGAACTTACATGGCTGTATAGAAATAATGATATCATAATTGGTAAAAGTTGAAAAACAAAATATGAGCAGTGTCATGACAAAGCCAACATAGTGCTTTTGCGACCAGCCTGGATCCAGACCAGCCTGCGCATCCACGCAGTGTGATCAGGATCCATGCTGTTCGCTATCAGTTTCTCTACCTGTAATAGGGTTTGTAAGCGAACAGCATGGATCTTGATCAGACTGCACGGATGCGCAGGCTGGTCTGGATCCATGCTGGTCGCAAACGCACTTTGTTGGTTTTGTCGTGACACGGCTCATTTATTGAAAATAAAATATCATTTAGTTTAGATTAACATGGTGCTCTGGTTTTTAAGCATGAGTTGAACTGTTTACCAGTAATGAATGATTTACCTGTTTTAAAATCCCTGTAACTTTCTTCAGCACACGTATTTGGAACGCTTTATTTGCAAATAAAACATATTACATAAGTAGTTGTATTATTTGGACATACAAAAAAATGTCAAGAAAATGATGTGACAGAAATGTCTCTCAAAAATTGTTGCGATGTTTATGTTTCATATTTTCTATGTAGCCATTATTAATCTGTGCTTCAGGTATATTCAGTCTAAGGGTTTTTCTTCGTTACCACTTAGGGCAATTTGAAATGAGGTATGGTTTGAAGGGCACTATATATATTTTATTTTTTCATACTATTGAATTTAATATCAAGCACACACACACATATATATTTATACACATATTTATTTTACATGTATACTTAAGTATTTACATTTAAAAAAACAGGTGTCTCCCAGTATTTCTTATAGAAATATATTGAAGGAAGTAGGGTCTTTTCCATTCAGAAGGTTTTTGTTATAATTTTAATGTTTAAAGATCCATATTCCTTATTTTTTAACTAAGGAATATGGCTGAGTCACAATGATATATGATATCTTTTGGTCCTTATGCCTTTGGGTACATCTGAAAAATTTTAACCTATTTGAGCATTTTGGGTATGTTGGAACCTTTCAGTCCCATTGTCTTTATATACCTTCGTACCTTTTGTATGCCTTTGTATACACTGGAACCATTTTAACCTTGTTCCTTTAGGAAGAAATCATGTTTATACATTTATGGGAAAGCATTTTCATCCTCAATCCATTGAAGATAAATAGGTTAACTTTTTTGACCAAACAAGTTAGGTTCTTAACAGTTTATGGCTTATTTGTCATCAATTGAGAGTGACTGTAAAGATAGATGATAGAATTTGCCCTTGTAAATAGACTATTGTTAAGAACGTAGTAGTATTCATGGAGAACAATTAAGGCAGTACTGGTACATATTCCTGGGAACATTGGCACAAATATTCTCCTAATTTCACATTAGTGAAATACTCCCAAATCAGAAGTAATTCTAGAAGTTAAATAAACAAAACATCATCAACTTCATTAAGGGGAAAGGCAATACAGAATAAAAGAAATTAACATCAGCATGTTGAAATGATATTTAGAAAGGAAATGGTCTAACACAATCAGCATATGAGCCACGTCATGCCAAAACCAACATAGTGGGTTTGCCACCAGCATGGATCCGCGCAGTCTGATCAGGATCCATGCTTTTCGCTATCAGTTTCTCTACATGTTATAGAGTTTGTAAGCGAACAGCATGGATCCTGATCAGACTGTGCAGATGCGCAGGCTGGTCTGGATCCATGCTGGTTTCAAACCCGTTATATTGGTTTTGTCGTGGCGGGGCTCATATGTTTCTTCTGCTTGCTGAGAGAATATAAATAGTAGAAAACCAGGTGGTAGAGGTATAATTATAATTATCAAGGTCAGAGCTAAAGCATTTACTAAAGAGGAGGATGAAAAAACTAATGCTGATGATATTTGAAGCATGGCTTTAGTTGGAAAGAATATGTTGGATGCATGTTTGAAGGGTTTCTTTTTCTATTAACACAAATTGTGTGCCTTTTTTCTATTAACACAACTATAGCTATTAAAATAATCTTTGCTTAAAATATTTTATTCTCTATATCTTTAATTATTCATTACAAAGGAAGTAACTTGATAGATTCCATATCTTGCCAAATTTGATCCCGTAACCTGCTGGAAATGGTAATGATTAGATTTTACCACTATTATAGAGCTTAGCCAGCATGCATTATCTGTGCAGTTTGACCAAGCTCTATATTGTTGTTATGTTACTTTCTGTTTAATCTATATATATCTAAAATTTATATTTTTGTATTAAAATCAGTAAAACTCATACTAGACTGTTTTAAATTCAAAGCACACATCAGCACCTTAAGTGCAGTAACAAGTTAACTCCTTCTAAAATAAATATGAGTTAATAAGTTATTGCACTAAGGTGGTGACATAAATATTTTCAAATACAGCAGGTAAGGGGTTTATATGTACTTATAAAAATTTGTTATCAACATTGAGAGGGATAAAGACATTTTATCAACAATAGATTAGGAAAATATAAACTTCAGACAGCTGTGTTTAGATCATGACATGTAAAGGAAAATGGCATAACCATTGTTTCAAACTTGTTTGACAAGATCAGGTTTTACATTGACATAACGATAATCTTTCATTTGTTCACCTTCAATGTATATTCATTTGATTTTCTTCTTCAATAATGAATACATTAACCTATTTCATATATTTTCTTTTATTCTAGCTTTAACTTCAGCATAACAATAACCACTGTTAATACTACAGTGCTTTAGGAGTATAGAAATTATTAATCAGCACTCTTTTATATCTTTCCTTACATGCAAACTGAAGAATGCCCATCTTTACTTAGCCGTTAAAAAGCTGAAACCGTAATGCCAAACTAGTCAGGAGAACACAGTCAAGCAAGCCTACTAATATCTGTACTACCTGACCAGGCTCTACACTGCTGACTACTTAATTGTATTTTCCTACAATTGAAATCCCTTAAACCACTAATGGACTGATCCAAATTCAAAGCAGGGCAAGTCCATTACACAAAATTTAGCAGAATATAATGCTTTATTTCTAATACCTTCCAGAAGCTTATCACATGAAAAGCATAATTATCATTATAGACAATATATAACAATTTATGTAGATGAAAATACAATGTACATGTAGTTCCCTTTTCTTGTCCCCAGCTTTATGGAAAACTAGCTCTGATGACATATTAAAGTTTTTATATCTTATATATATGTACTGTATTATATAGCTTAAAATGCACCTTCAAATGAACCTTATTTTCTTCTTTTAATACATAGCATTATAGAGTGATATATAGTCAGATAATATATACAATATATATAATAGACATGTAGATATTGTTGATATAAAAAGCATTGTATATAAAGTATGTCTATATATAATAAAGCAAGCCTATTTTATTTACAATACAGGAAAGGAAACATTATGTTGGTAGATGGCTTTTTATTTTTATCTCCTTCTCTTTAAATTTGTTAAAATTAAAATATTTAAATTAGCATTTTATTCACGATTCGGCTGTTGAATGTTTTGTTTATTACCGAGGGTACAGTCATCGTACTGTAACACGTTAGATCTTAATTATACAAAAAAACAACTAAATAATCTAAAATTTGAAGAACGATCTCAAATCTACCGGTATGGCCTTTCCTTATATCAAAGCAGGATGAGTTCAATAGATAAATTCATCAGAGATACATGTAGGGTTTATAGGCTGGGTGTGATGTGAAACTGTTTTACTCAACAAATCCTATATGCAACATGTAATGCTTAATATAATATAAGAAACAACTATGCTAGTAGCTGCTAGATATGTCTTTCCACATCATGCCTGACAAACTTACGCTCCTATTCAAAATTGTTATGTACTGAAAAATGGTAATTGTAAGTATTGTTTATGTTTTTGTCTTCTAATTTATATAAGTTGTATTAAAAAATTTACAAGTGTAGTTAACATAGGATTGTTGAAGGCCTCCAATGATCTGAACTGTTGTGAAAAGAAAATTAAATTAAACTCGGGAGAACTTTTTCACCTGAGGAAGTGAACAACAAATTGTTGAATATTGAATCCTACATGGAACTACATTGAATGATTTTTTTGAAACAATTCAACTTAAATGAATAAGAAGACAGAAATATAAACAATACATGTACTTACAAAATTAGCTGTTTAAATTGGCATCCGCTCTATCTTGGAAACGCAGTTTGCTCATTTTTTTATTACACCGCAATTTTGAAGTGCAGCGTAAGTTTGCAAGGTGTGAAATGTACATTCATCATCAGCTCTGTTGTTATAAACATGTAATGTGCATTTATTTATATTATATTTCACTGTGTATTTTCAGACAATCAAGAACAAGGAAAGCTGAGTTTGTACAGATACCACAGGAAGGGGATGAACAGGTGGTTTAGGCGAGCAGTTAATCAAGAGTGGTTTAGTTCTATTGTTATATTTATTCACTTATCACAATAAATTTATGTTGTTATTTAATGTATACTCAATCTAAGAAGGAACACAAACTGCATTATTTCTTTGTATAATTCATTTTGGTTTACTCAAAATTATTTTCCTTTAAACTTTCTCTTGTGATTACACTCGATTGAAAAATAAATGAATGAGAAATTTTTGTACAGAATATTTATTATGAAGAAACTCTACAATTAATTAGCTAAACTAGCTGTGATGTAAAATTTAAGTTGATCCAACTCAAATGAAATACATAAAATACTATTTGCTGTATGTATTTCTTTCTAAATTGGGTATTAATTGGTTTTAATTGGTTGCACACACTATTTATCAAGATATTTTTGCTATTGTCTCTTGGACTGTTATGGTGTTTATATGTTAAAGAATTACTTATGTAACAGAAGTCACAGACTGTGATATTGTTGTTATTTAAGTGACATGGAATTTGTTATCTTATTCTGATATATTTTCATTCCATGTGCAATAATTGTTAGGTTTTTTGGGTGTTTTTTTATTCTTCAACAATTCCAGTAATTTCACTGGAAATATTTTTTATTAGAGATGTAAGATTTACAATTCTGAAAGTTTTCACAATGAGCTTCATGTTTTGTGGGTTTTTTTTATTACCTAGTGATTTAAGTTATTTTTTTGTTTATAATGTTTTACAATTTACTTGATTTTTTTATTGATTATTGTTACAAGGGTTTACTTCTGGTTTAGGTTTTAAAAAGTTATAGGTGTAAAATAGAACTCTAGATGGTAAACTGTGCAAACTATTTCAAAGCAGTGCAACTCTCTTGTTTTTGTCTCATAAAATATACAGTGCTCAAGAGAAAAAAACCCAGTTCTTTTCTGGGTCTCCCTTCCTACCCAATTTAACCAGCCCAAGACTTTGTATTTGCCTTCCCTTTTTACAAAAAAATTGTTACAATATGTGTATTGCACTTTATTATGTATAGATATAAATTATATACCTACCTAGCCTCCTTTTTATTTGGTGGTAGTGGTGGGGGTAGGGGTCAGAGAAACAGATCTCTTTTTTGGGGTTCATTAAAGTTTACATCAGTCACCAGCTTGTTAAGATTTGGTAAACATTACAAGCTCAATTTGAATATGGATAATTTGCTGAATTTGGATAGTTAATATAAAGTTTGCTGAATTTGGAAAGCAGATATGTTTGCTGAATTTGGATAGTTTGCTGAATTTGGATAAAATATAAAGTTTGCTGAATTTGGTAAGTTAATATAAAGTTTGCTGAATTTGGATAGTTAATATAAAGTTTGCTGAATTTGGATAGTTAATGAAGTTTGCTGAATTTGAATAGTAATAAAGTTTGCTGAAATTTTACAAGCTGTTGGTGTAAAGAATAGTGTTCAGATAAAATGTGTTCTCAGATATACATGGAACATGGAGAAAGTGCAGATTGTATAAACTATTTTGAAGTTGTTGATTTTATTTTTTTTGTGCCATTTTGTATTTTGTTAAATATATTGTTTAGATAGGTTAGAAGTAGTCATTGTATGCTTAAACTTTCACACAGCCATAAGATAAAGTGCAAATATTGAGTTTATTTTAGTCATATACATGTGTGTTAAAAACTTAGTGTGCTAGCAGCAAAAGTGTTGTTGTTTACGCCATTTAGAATAAGGCCAGTCTTCTGTGAAGTCTAACCAAGTTCTGTTGAAATGGCTTTTCCACTTTTATAATAAATTAAATATTAAGATGTTTCAAACTCATATTGACCAGTTCTGAAAGCATGACAAATCAAACACATGAACAGAGCATTACGTTTTATTGATTTATGTACCATGCATAAAGATTAACATTATTTTAATCATGGGACCAGCTCATTATTTAGTGTATTTTGTAATACAACTACATCTCAATCATGTTTTCACCACAAGACTGTCTGTCATATTTCCCAAAGTTGAAACAAGTAGTCATAAAACTATTAATTTATTAATCATGTATATACCAGTAGTCAACTATGTCTCAATAATATTCAAATTGCCATATTTTCAGATTACCGTAGTTAATTTTATTAATTTTTGAATTTTTTGTGTACATCTGACGTGAAATTAATATGACAATGCACAAGAACTCTGTTTCAGACACACTGCTTTGTTTCAGACACACTGCTTTCTGGTTGAGGTCAAAGGTTCCGTTATTTGATTACAATGCAATATTTTATTTTTGATAAACTCTAATCCCTGTAATGGGTTATGATGTATAAATAACAGTTATTGCAAAATATAATTTAAATATATTCATTAATTGATTTATTATTTTGGTTTCCTCATAGGATTTCACTTTTTTCCCCCGCCGATGGAATCGGGAGGGGGATATAGTTTGGCGTTGTCCGTCCATCCTTCCGTCCGAATTTCGTTTCCGGAGTAGTTCTCTGGAACTACTGGCTGGAATTCAACGAAACTGTATGGGAATCATCAATATCAAGAGGAGATGCGCATATCGTCGACTTGTTCCGGTCTGACACTTTAACTCAGAGTTATGGCCCTTGATTAGTTATGCAGTATGCATATAGAGTAAAAATCGTTTCCGGAGTAGTTCTCTGCAACTACTGGCTGGAATTTAACGAAACTTTATGGGAATCATCAATATCAAGAGGAGATGCGCATATCGTCGGCTTGTTTCGGTCCGACACTTTAACTCAGAGTTATGGCCCTTGATTAGTTATGCAGTATGCATATAGAGTAAAAATCGTTTCCGGAGTAGTTCTCTGCAACTACTGGCTGGAATTTAACGAAACTTTATGGGAATCATCAATATCAAGAGGAGATGCGCATATCGTCGGCTTGTTTTGGTCCGACACTTTAACTCAGAGTTATGGCCCTTGATTAGTTATGCAGTATGCATATAGAGTAAAAATCGTTTCCGGAGTAGTTCTCTGCAACTACTGGCTGGAATTCAACGAAACTTTATGGGAATCATCAATACCAAGGGGAGATGCGCATATCGTCGCCTTGTTCCGGTCAGACACTTTAACTCAGAGTTATGGCCCTTGATTAGTTATGCAGTATGCATATAGAGTTAAAATCGTATTCGCGCTACTTCTCTGCAACTACTGGCTGGAATTCAACGAAACTTTATGGGAACCTTCAATACCAAGGGGAGATGCGCATATCGTCGCCTTGTTCCGGTCAGACACTTTAACTCAGAGTTATGACCCTTGATTAGTTATGCAGTATGCATATAGAGTAAAAATCGTTTCCGTGCTACTTCTCTGCAACTACTGGCTGGAATTCAATGAAACTCTATGGGAACCTTCAATACCAAGGGGAGATGCGCATATCGTCGCCTTGTTCCGGTCAGACACTTTAACTCAGAGTTATGGCCCTTGATTAGTTATGCAGTATGCATATAGACTCATATTATAGAGTAAAAATCGTTTCAGCCCTACTACTCTGCAACTACTGGCTGAAATTCAGCAAAACTTTATGGGAACCTTTAATACCAAGAGGAGATGGGCATATCATTACCTTGTTTGGGTCAGACACTTTAACTCAGAGTTATGGCTCTTGATTAGTTATGCAGTATGCATATAGAGCAAAAATCGTTTCCGCGCTACTTCTCTGCAACTACTGGTTGGAATTCAACAAAACTTTATGGGAACCTTCAATACCAGGAGAAGATGCGCATATCATTGCCTTGTTGGGGTCAGACATTTTAACTCAGAGTTATGGCCCTTGATTAGTTATGCAGTATGCATATAGAAAATATTTGTTTCTGCGCTACTTCTCTGCAACTACTGGCTGGAATTCAATGAAACTTTATTGGAACCTTCAATACCAAGAGGAGATGCGCATATCGTCTCCTTGTTCGGGTCAGACATTTTAACTTTGAGTTATGGCCCTTGATAACTTATGCAGTATACAACCAGAGCAATAATTGTTTATGTGCTACTTCTCTGTAACTACTGGCTGGAATTCAATGAAACTTTATGGGATACAAAGAGGAGATGTGCATAAAGTCGCCTTGTTCCGGTCAGACACATATAACTCAGATTTATGGCCCTTGATTAGTTATGCAGTATGCATACATCTCATTGGCATTTCCAGATATTACTTTTTAACACAGAGTTATGGCTCTGTTATTGCCCTGAATATTTATCAAGTTCAAAGAATATTACTGTTAATGCCATTATAAATATATAAATAAAGCCTTATGTCTTCAGTTGTTGTGTTAGTAATAACCAGTACTCGGCGGGGGATATAAATTCAACGAATTTGCTTGTATAGAACCCTGTCTCAGTTATGCTCAAGTTATTTAGTGTTAATTGATTTTAAATTGATCTTAAGTAATTATTTAGATGATGAATTATGATGTGAATATTTTAATTGAATGTCATGGCTTAAAGTTGTATTGAAGGAAAGAGCAGGAGATGGTAAAAATAATTAAGATGCTGATGTGAAATAGCATAAGCATTTTTACTCTATCTCTCTTTTGTATCATTGGCATAAGCAGTTAACAAACAATTAACAAAATTTGATTAATAATATTTTCAATTGAAGGTACAGTAAACTCCGCTTATAATGAACTCATTGGGACATTCAAAGTCTGTTCCTTATATCCGGAGTTCCTTGTAAGCATATAGCGAACTAGTTCTTTGTATCAGGAGTTTTTACAGCGAACAAATTTTAATATAACGAAGTGATTGATAAACATCGTCCGCCATTTTGAAGAGTATTTGATTAAGAGTAATTAGTCATTTATTTCTTTTTTAGACTCAGTACCCAAGAGCGTACATTTTGGAATTTGAAAATCCTTTGCTATTTCAGTTTAAGTTTTACTCCCTTTCTCAATTTCTCATAAAATATCATATTTTGTTTCTTAACTCAGTGCTTTTCGTTTTCTTTCCATGAATAAAAATAAACAAGATTTTCCATTTTTTCTTCTTTTTATATTGAATATCTTCCATTACATTTTAAGGATGATTTTTGCTAATGAAATATATAGATTTTTTTTTCATTTCAATCAAGCATACTTTGTAGTTTTCTATGGATTATGTTTGCAAGCATGCATGATTATGTTGAAACTGATTATAAATGATCATAATTATTTTACTCGAGCAAAACTATTAAAGAAAAGAAATAATAGAATTAAAGGAATAACAGTTATATCTTTTTGACAAGAACTCCTGTTAAAAATATCCTAAATAGAAAACTATAACATACTTGTATACAAATTCATTTTCATAGATATATTGAAGTACATACAACAATAAACGGTACATCCCGGGAGTTTTAATCCGTGCCAATGAAAAGGAAAGTTGAAAATGCGGGATATATTTACGAATAGCCCATATTTTGGAGTTCGTTATAAAAGTGTAATTTGCTGCACTTTTAACTAAATTGGGACTAAGAAATGAGTTCCTTATGAGCAATGATACCTTATAACCGTGTTCGCTATAACCGTATATTTTTATATTAAATAAAGAATGGCAAATTCGGGCCAAAATAAATTGTTCCTTATAACCGGAAGTTCGCTATAACCCTGTTCGCTATAAGTAAAGTTTACTGTATATACTATTAGGGGCATTAGTTTTCCATTATCTGTGTATGTTTATTTAATAAATATGAGTTACAAAAGAAATAATATTGATTTGAAATAAAATTGCCATAGTTTCAATTAAGATTCATTTGTTTATCATATGTTAAGTGTTCAGGATTAATTTGTTTATCATATGTTAAGTGTTCAGGATTAATTTTTAATGGTAGGATGAACTGGAAATAAAAGTGTTTTCAACATATCAGCTGTAGATATACTATTTGATTGTACAGCTTTCATTGGAAAAAAACATGTTTTAATTGTATTTTATTATTCATCAAAGTTCATGCATGTAAGAATATGATATCATTCTGTGAATTACAATATCTGAAATATTATCATAAATGTTTTGTTTATTTATGAAAGTCAGTGCAGCTGAACATTATCAATATTATAAGTACATAATTTTCTCCATTTATTACCTGAATTAAAGGTAACACAAAGATTCATTTATCATTTTCAAAATAATTCATACTGAAATAACTCACTTCTTGTATACTTTAAAAAAAAACAACGACTATTGGGGTATCAGTGTGAGTTTATTACTTTTCTATATTTTATGTTTGAGGTAATAATATACATAGATATATGAAATGCATTTATTTTCATATCAATTTTATCATTACTGTAT